CTTTAGCGAGATCATTGATCTTACCTACTTGGCGCTGCTAATTTGTATTATTAATTCAATCAATCACAGTCCGAACGCACCCTAACAACGATCCGATCGTAACATGGATCGACAGCAGCTGCCAGCGAGCATTGATCTCGTCTACATACATATACCCATACCCATACCTATATGTATATATGTATATATATGTATCGTATCGTCTCGAGCGATTGGCATTTCACAAATGCGGCGCGTTCTAGTTTCTCGCTGTCGATGCGAATTCTTGTTGATTCTTGGTTGATTCGCATTTCGTCTTGGCTAATTTAATTGTTTGCCTTTTCATTAAAGCGGGATGTGGGCCCATGGAAACATTTATAGCACAAGCCCCATCCTGCCCTCACTCTCTCTCTCTCTCTTATTCACTCACTCACCTCTCGGTCAGCATTTAATTCGCTAATTGCTAATGCGCCCAGCGCTTATCAAATTGGAGCATCGCTTCGCTATTTGCGTCCACCTTTTTTTTTGGCTACTGTCTGATGTCTTAGCGCTCGCGCTGTTTGCTTTAATTTAGCTACACATTTTAGTTCAAATATTTGATAAGCAGACGGGGCGGGGCGCGCTGAAGCGAGTCTGGCATTTGCGTAACTTTCGGCATTACTCATACGCCCCCTTAGCCCGCTTCCGCCCAGCCAAAATGCTTTTCTAATGATTTGCAATACAGTTTCAGGCAATATATCTTTATATCTAATCAGCATTCATGGCTAATTTATTTGACGTTTCGCTTCTTTTTTTATTGTTATTGTTTTTGGCTAAAATTTAATTTGAATGCGCGCTTTAAATATAAACCCGAGTTCAATAAACGCTTAATGAGCTTTTGTGTAGGCGTCGCTTTAAAATCGTTTAAGATTTTCACTTTTATATTGAACTTTGCACTGGGCAAGGTCTTTCGCCAATTGCTGTCGATAAGCTGCTCAGTCTTATCTTTGGCATAGAAATGGATATTAATTCCGAAGTTTATAATAATAAAGAATTAGTTTTCGCTACAGAAGTGACTAAATGACGTTTCAGCTAGCCTACTGTAGGCTACTGTAGTTCGCTGTAGTCTGCTGCACTAGTTCAAATAAACTAGTGAACTTGTTCAAATGAACTAGCTTATATGAACGTATTCAAATAACGTAAACTTGTTCAAATTAACTAGCTAAAGTGAACTTATTCAAATGAACTAGTGAACTTGTTCAAATGAATTAGCGAACTTATTCAAATGAACTAGGGAACGGTTTAAATGAACTAGTTTACATGAACTTATTCAAATGAACTAGTAAACTTGTTCAAATGAACTTATTCATATGAACTAGTAAACTTGTTCAAATGAATTGGCTGAAGTGAACTAGTCAAAACTAACTCATTCAAATGAACTTATTTATATGAACTAGTGAACTTATTCAAATAAACTAATAAACTTATTCAAATGAACTAGTGAACTTGAACTATGGAAGATTTAGACATTTCCGATATGCCTTGACCACAGCAGACATCTATAAATGCTATCATCGGACTATACTTAGAAGAGGTCAAAGCTGGGATTCTAGCCCCAAAACTAGCTCAAAAGACTCAATGAACTTTCAAACCCAATGGGCCTATCTAAAGCCTCTTTATGCTGCAGCTGACAAGGCTACACCTGAGTAGATTTCTTCCAAATTTGAATGATGGGCAGATAGACAGAGAGACGCACCGTTAGAAAAACAATCCATAAAACCAAAGATGACCCCAAAAAAATAGATTCGACTTGGCAAAATTTCGATCAACTCTCTAGTTGCTGCCCTATTTCTATAAATTACCAGGTACAACTCGCTAACGTTTTGCCCAAGTTAAACGTCCCTTAGACAAGCTGAAAACATATCAAATGGCAGCTGTAAGTTGCCCTCATTGCTTGTATCTATGGAGCATTCCTGTTGGCAGCTCCAAAGTGGGGCACACACAGTCTCTAGCGAGAGAGCGAGTGGAGGCGAGACAAGTTGACACCCGCTGTTGCAGTTGCAGCTAAGTTGCTTGCTGGCAACACGCCTCCGCGCTGGAGCCAAAGTGAATGCAACTTTTAAACACCTCCCCAGGGAACTGGCGGGGGCAAACAGCGCTCCAACGTCAGCCAACTGTATTTTTTATCTAATTAGGTAGTCAAAATATACAAAAAAGAGACAGCTTTATGCTTAGGCGAGTGTGCGAGTGTGTGTGTGTGTGTGTAATCTAAACTGTGTCACTAAACAAAAAAAAAAAAATTCTGAGCGAGGCAGAGAGAAGGGAAAAGGCAGCCAGCAGCCGCTGCTGAGCCCAGAAAATTGTGTCAAACAGATAAAAACTTTGAATGGAGACGAGACGGAAGCAGCGGCAGCGAGTGGGACGAGCCACGCCCTCTTTTTGGGGCAACAACAACATGAACAGTTATGATTATAACCTCAATTCTCGGAGAAAACTGGCCCGAAAATTGTAGAGCATTTGAATAAATTTTAACAAGAATGCAATAAAGCAAAGCACAAACAACAAGTAAATAAAAAGAGTGAGGAGAGAGGGAGAGAGAGAGAGTGGGAGGGAGATAGAGATATGTGAAAAAGCGGCTAAAAAGCCAGTGTACAAAGTAGGCGGCGTTGATTTAAATGGCACCCAAAAAGTCAGCCACGAAACGAGAGGGCAAACAGATAGACAGGCAGAAAGAGAGGGCCAGAGAGTGGGTGGGAGAGGGACAGACAGAGAGGAGATGGACAACTATTCAAATTGAGGTCATTCATCCCGCTTCGTTGAACGCGCTTAAGTGAATTATATATGTGTGCGTGCGTGTATCTGAGAGATACATAGATAGACATATGGCGAGCCATAGGTTACCCGTGCAATAGTTACGTTATGTGTCGCCAACTTGTGAATGGGGCAATAAAGTGGGGACATCTATCGGCGCGACCGACCGTCCAGCTTTTCTATAGAAAACGCCACTCAACCCATATCTATTTTGGGTGAAAGCCTTTCTCCATGCCAGCTAAGCAGCTTAAGTTTTTTTCGATTCTTTTAGGGATTTGCATGCCGGCAGCGAGGCATGAAAACATAATGAAAACACGTTAATTGCACACAATTTGAGCGTTTATTTAAGCATTTATATTTGATTGACTGGCTGACTGACTGACTGATTGATTGAGTGTTGGCGCAACAGTAGAAAGATCGTACAACGCCCCCAAATCAAACTTTGATATCATCATCAACTTCATCATCATCATCATCATCAAACATCGCACGCACTTTATATATATAAAACTTTTCGATTTATATTCAATTTTAGACTGCTGGGCATTCGTCTCTCTCTCCCTCTCTGTGTCTCTCTCTCCCTCTCTAACTCTTTGGCTTCGCCGTTTCATTTGCTTTTCATATGGGAGTAGGTCAGTTCAAAATTTGCATATGCCTTGACTGATTTTTGTTTTTGATTTCTTGCTGATTTTTTATTCATATTCGTTGCGTTCGAGTCTTGCTTTGACTTTTGCTGCCACGCCCAGTTGCATTTGTTGCCAATACCACTTGCCACCCACCGTGCCCTCGCCTCGCCTCGCCTGCACGTGGCACACTCGAACCCCAGGGCAATTTGTTTTAGCTTTTGCTGCCAAATTTTTGCATTTTTGCATTTTTTACCGAGCTGCGTGGGACTCACCTTTTGACATGGAATGAAATGGACCACAGATGAAAGCGAATCAGTTTCATCCTATTGAATGCTTAACGCTGATGAAAGTAGAGCTCGAGGGTAATAAATATGCTAAGCTATGAATAATAGATGAAACCCTAATCAGATATTAGCTTACTAAATTAGCTTTTATAGCTCAAATGGACAGCAAATGAATGACTTCATAAATCTGTATGAAGACGTATAAGCTAGCAGAAGTTGGGACATAGCAGTAGTGCAGGTATTATCTGGTACTAAAATTTCTTCTATCAGTTCTAATAATACCTGCATATTGCTTCTTTATATATACAATACATTTCTCTTTAGCTTACTGCGTCTTAAGCTTAAGTTCTGGCAGCAATTATCAACAACTAGAAGCTGCTCTCTTTAATTATGCACTATCGATAACACTGCCTATCGATTGATCAATTAAGCAGTTGCATCAGATAGGTTTTTGCCTAAGGCAATCTGCATACGTAGCAGATATACCTGCGCTTACCTGAAATCGACTTTCTATCGATAACTAAAGCAACCACATTCGAAATAAATGAATGCGAATTATCGATACACCTAGCTATCGCAATTTCTACAAACAAGAGTTGCTTTAATGTATAATATGTATAATAATAAATTGATGTCTGCCTTAACAGCGCTTAGCTGCCTCTCTAAGAGAAACACTAATTTATCGATAAAAAGTAGCTGCGATTTCTAAATGGAGACTAAGCTCATCTCTGTCTGATTTCTCTAAATCAATTTCTGTTGTAGCATTCTGTGAGATATTCACTAAATGCAAGTGAAGCGTAACTAGGAGCATAGTTACTTAAGTTCTCTATAACGATAGCCCAGGGCTAAGCGTTAGCTATCGTTATCTATCTTTATATCAAGTTGAAAATATGTGCCTTAATTTCTATATAAGGTAGTTAATCAACTATCGATCTCAGATAACAGCTGATAAATTATAACTATCGATACATGCACTTATCGATTGTTGAACTTTCCCAGCCCAAGTCAGCTCTTCTCTCTCTGTCCCTCTGCCTCCTTCTTCAAAGTAAATAGAGCACTATCAGCGTGTAAATCACTTTAAGCTATTTGAATCAAAGTCTTAGCAGGTCAAGAGCTGAGTCAACAAACGCTTCATCTAACTGTCTATCCATCTATCTAATCTATGAGTTCAGCTATAGCTAAACGGCTATAAAATGTCGCTGGCCGTCGCCGATCAGGCAACAGTTAAGATTCTTTTGTGCTCTGAAAATGCAGCAAGGTAAAGTGTTGCACAGCTCGCGTTTCACTTGGGTCCTCTCTGACAGAGTTTTTCCTTTCAAAGTTCTTCAGTTTTGCCTGCTGCTGCTGCTGCTGGTGGGTGCTTGCCGGGCACTCGGCGAGCTAGTCTGCAACTCGAACGGCTTTTGCTTCTGCACTGGGCACGAGGACGGCGACCTGGTGCCTGACTGCACGGATTGCCGCGCCTACTACAGGTGCGGCGTGAACAGCATTCAGCACGAGCTCTGCCCGCCGGCCCTCATCTTCGATGTCCAGCTGCTCGCCTGCATGCCTGGCAAATGTCCACGCTCGGATGGTGGTTGCCCAGGACCCCATCCAAATGGGTCAACGCTTCCGCCGCCGCCCCCTCCACCCGCCAACTGCCTAGAGCAAGAGGTGAAGTGCAGCTTCCATGGCCAAATACTGCCACATGCCTCACATTGTCGCTTCTTCTGGACCTGCGTGGAGACCTGCCCCGTGCTGGGCTTCTGTGAGCTGGGCACTTGGTTCGATCGCCAGAAATTCGTCTGTGACTTGCCCAGCAACGTGCACAACTGTCCCCAGGGCATTGACTAACATGCTAGTGTTCCTTAGGCTGCAGTTGCTGGCGTGCACAGGCAATTGCAGCAGCAATAGCAGCAACAGTAGTAGTAATAGTGACAGCAACAACAGCAGCAATATGAACTACAACAACAACAATTACAGCAACAACAACTCAACACAGTAACGACAGCAACAATCACAGCAACAGCTACATTGACATGAACAACTTTAAGAGCAGCAACAGCAACAACAGCGACAACAACATTGCGTTAATATACGCGAATTGCTTGACACAATTTGTATTTGACGGTGGGCGCTGGGCGTTGGGTGGTGGGTGTGGCAGCGCTGTGTTTAGCTCATTTTTTTCAATGTTTTGTTTTGTTTTGTTTGTTATTATTGCTGCTGCTGCTGCTGGCGTGGTTGCTGTTGCTGCAAATTCAGCACGCAACTAACAATTTTAGCTGCTCCAAATACAACAACAACAACTAATACTACTACAGCTAAACACATACAGACTTAGACACACCTTGAAGCAAAGCAAAAAAAATGAGAAAAAATGATGTAGCTTGAAATACCCTAAAACTTAAGAGAGAAGCTTTAAATGGAAGTTCACTTGGAAAATAAGAAAAAATTCAAAAAGAAAATTTATCTGATTCGAATTCTGCTGTTAGTTTTCAGGCTAAGCACTTTTTATGTTTAGATATTAATATATATAAATATATATATAATATATATAAATATATAATATATATAAATATATATAATATATATTTTATATATATTTCGTATCAATTGGCACTAATTCTTTTCTTTATATAAATAAGATATTCTATCCAAATAAATCTCCTTGCAATTGCGCAGATTTTGGTTTTAGACAGTGAAACACTTGGGTCAAAAATATGTTACTTAATAAGAATTCCACTTGAGCTACTATCAAAACTCTTTAGCTTACTTTTGCTGTCTAGAAATTAACTAGATTTATTCAGCTTAAATGAAGCTTGACTTGAGTCAGAAGCCCAAGCACCTTAAGCTGCCCGCAGCAACATGCATAGAGCAGCAGCAGCCACAATAATAAAAACAACAAACTTTTACCCAAGCCGCAGCATTTTGGACAATTTCGTAACTGGGTAAACACACACACACACACACATACACACACGTATACATGCGCTAGCAAATGTGGAGTGCATAAAGTGCAGCACGGCGACAGCAGCGACAGGTGAATGAACGACCTCAAACGAGGTCAGCAACAACTGCGGGCCAAATTATGCCGGCGGATTGTCGAGTGGGGCAGCGGGCAACGAGCCGAGTTGGCGGGGGCCCGGAAACGTTGGGGCTGTAGCCCATTCATGCGCACAATAAACCCAAAAAAAAGTAGAGGAAAAATCAACTATACGCAGTATGATTATGTGAATGCGACGTTGTTGCTGTTGTTGTTGTTGAGCAGTTGATGGCTGCTTGGCTGGCAGTTGGCTTCAGTTTTCAGCTCGAGCTTCGCATGCTAATAGCCGTAGAGTGAACAGCCGGTCAACAGCAGCAGCAGCAGCAGCAGCAGCCCCACATTTGGATGACCCAAATCCTGAACAGGCAAATGGATGGCCAAATGGAGGAGGCTGTGAAACAAGTTTTGCCTATACAGCTGCCTCTCTCCCGCCTCTCTCTCTCTCTCTCTGTTGGGTCATTTGGCTGCTCTAAATCACTTAAGATGCTTTTAGCTGGAAAAGAAGTTTAGGCTTAGTCTTATTTATGTGACTTCACTTTGGCCTCGCACCCTGCAACCTGCAACCTGCTCCCTGCTCTCTTGCTGCATAATGGATGATGTTGACCTGCACAGTTGCCGAGCTGCCAGCGAGTGGGCGCTTGAAGAGGCCTTCGTGGCCGGCCAAGTGGGCGGCAGGTGGCAACAAAAAATATGTAGAGCAGCCTGTCTAAGTTGGCCACGATTGAATAGCTAATTTCGTAGATTATCGCTGCGCCAAATGCAGCAACAAATTATTTACCTGAGCTGCGATTGAGTGCGCTATTACGTTTAGTTACAGTTTGATTGTTAAATACAAAATATACTTAAAGAAATATTTGGCTAGAAACTGGAATACTTAGTTGGCCTTTAGAAAATATTTAAATAAAGCGGGCTGAAATTTTTAAAATTAAATTTGTATTTTCTTAATAATTTGTTATTTTGATTAAATTTATTTTTAATTTAATTTTATTTATGTGGATAAACGACTTATTTTATTTTCTTTATTTTTTTATTAATTTTCTATAAATTTTATATTACTCAAAAATTCTATTTTACTTCAACAAGTGTTGAAATTAACACTGCAAAGATTTGATTTGTGATTCCTCTCCAAGTTGTTTACCTGCTGAGGCTTAACCCGAATCCTCTGCACCAGTTCAATTACCCATTTGGTCAAGTTTATTTGCAAATTGATTATAAATATGCTGCGATACTTAGCTGCTGCATACTCCATGCCATTCGACTGCCCCACTTATTGGCAGCTGCAGAGTGGCTCCGCGCATACCCTTGAGATAGAGTCAATAATAAAATACAAAATCTGCACAAAGGCAGCTAACAACGATTGACGAGCGCTGGGCAAACAAATCGTGCAGCGGCCAAAATGAGCTGCTAATTGAAGACACCTTAGAAATCATGAAAATAAACAGAGCAGAGCAGGGCAGAGCCCGCCACTGGCAATTAGCAGAGTTGAAGGTGGGCCTCCACAGTGTGCAGCTGCCTGCGTGTTGCTATTATGTCATAATTAATTTACGAGCTGTGACAATTAACGAGATGAGCGGCTGATGCATAGTGACAAGGCCAGCCGAACAGTCGAACTGGCAGCCAGATGTGGGTCAATGTGTTGACCAATTTGGAGCGTACGATCGCGCTTTTCCACACGTTCACAACTTTTCCGGCGCAATTTTCCAGCGGCGTGGCTTGAGCAAGCGCTTTGGCCCACTCTGCGCTCTGACCAATTTGCACAACTCGCACGCCATTTCGTCATAAGTGCACACACATAAATACGAGTATCTACAAGATACAAATGTATCTTTTGGATTGTCTGCGGCTGTTGCTGTTGCTGAAACTGACGCCGCTGGCTGTGCTGCGAATACCACGAAGGCAACAACAAGACAAAGCGAAAAGCAACAAAAAAATCAGTTGCCGACAGTTTTTTCTTTTTTTTTTTTAATATATATATATTGAGCACAGTGGGTCAATGTCCCACTGATAAAGTGAACGCCAGTTGCCGCTGCCGCTGCCACTAGCAGCAACTGGAGCAGCAGCAGCAGCTGCGACGTCGCTTGCCAAAAGGCAAATGCGATTTTAATTAACAAAATATGCGGTGTATCTTCGGTTGCACAAAAGAAATTTCACGTTTTTAATATTTTTGCAATTTGTTTCGTTCGCATTGGTGAAAACTTAGCCAATGAACATATTTTTTATTAAGTTATTTCATTTGCAGCAACAATCATTTTGCTGGCTGCCAAATTCAATTTGTAGTACACATTTTCTACTTGAGATGGCACAAGAATTTCGTTGCCCATTTGCTGCGTTCGAAGTGTGTGTGCGTGCGTGTGTGTGTTTGTGTGTGTTTGCCTAAGATTTATGCGTGTGCCAGTTTTATTGTGTGACATTTTTGGCTAAGATTTAAATTTAAATTGCTTTTAGAAACTAATAAATAGGTTGATATGTTTTCTGACGCAAAACAACAAGTTCGGTTGCCATGTTCGCCAAATAACAAAAATTACACTAATATATTCGTTTATTAGCTAATTATACTTGTGGGTGGAAACATTGTATACATATAAAGTGATTATTAAAATGCCGGCGCGCAAAAGTATGCTACAATTTTATAATACCGTCTGATGAAATTGAATGCAGCATACTTTTGTGCGGTTGCAAAATTCCATTTGTGCTGCATACTTTGCGGCTGCTTTGATTAATATTCAATTTGAATTGCTAACGTAACCCACGTCGCTCTGTCTCTTTCTTGCAGCTGTGCGTTATGGTCGCGTACCCAAGCGTTCACGTGAGCTGAACGGTGCAGCAGCAGCAGCAGCAGCAGCCGCCGCAACAGCCTCAGCAGCCAGCGGCGCGCCCCTAAATGTGGATGAAACCAGTGCCAATAATTTGCATACAAATCTAATACAACAGCAACAGCAACAACAGCAGCAGCAACAACAGCAGCAGCAACAGCAGCAGCCGCATGCGAGCAGCGTGCGCGTAAATACACCAAGTACACCACAAACGCCACAAATGTGTTCGATAGCCTCGTCGCCATCGGAGCTGGGCGGTTGCAATAGTAGTGCCAACAACAACAACAATAACAACAACAGCAGCAGCAGCAACAACAACAGCAGCAGTAATGCAACAGCTGTAGTTGTGGGCAGCCATCATCAGCAATTGGTTAACATGGGCAGCAGCAGCGACATGGCCATGACCCAGGTGGGCGTGGGCATGTGTCATCCCTCGATCGATCATCACGACGGCCTCGCCGGCACAGCCAATGAGCTGACTGTCTACGATGTGATCATGTGCGTCTCGCAGGCGCATCGACTCAACTGCTCCTACACCGAGGAGCTGACACGTGAGCTGATGCGACGACCCGTCACAGTGCCCCAGAATGGCGTAAGCATGCGAACTCAACGAAGCAACCACAACAGCAACCACAACTAATCGAGCGTATTCATTGCTTTGCAGATTGTCACCACTGTGGCCGAGAGTCTGGAGTTCCAAAAGATCTGGCTGTGGCAACAGTTCTCGGCGCGCGTGACGCCCGGCGTGCAGCGCATTGTGGAGTTCGCTAAACGCGTACCTGGCTTCTGTGATTTCACCCAGGACGACCAACTGATACTCATCAAGCTGGGCTTCTTCGAGGTGTGGCTAACCCACGTGGCGCGCTTGATCAACGATACGACGCTGACGCTGGACGATGGCGCCTATCTGACACGACAGCAGCTGGAGATACTCTACGATGTGAGTGAAGTGGCATGAATGGACGTAGAACGGCCTCTCGCTCTCTACTCTCCTTAGCTGATCACAGATCTAATTGAGTTTAACTTTGTTACCTTTGCAGTCGGACTTTGTCAATGCCCTGCTGAACTTTGCCAACACACTGAACGCCTATGGGCTGAGCGATACAGAGATTGGTCTCTTCTCGGCTATGGTGCTGCTGGCATCGGATCGCGCGGGTCTCAGCGAGCCCAAGGTAATTGCACGTGCACGCGAGCTGGTGGCAGAGGCACTGCGTGTGCAGATACTCAGATCGAGGGCTGGCTCGACGCAGGCGCTGCAGCTGATGCCGGCGTTGGAGGCTAAAATACCGGAGCTGCGCTCGCTGGGCGCCAAGCACTTCTCACACTTAGACTGGCTGCGAATGAACTGGACCAAGCTGCGTCTGCCGCCGCTCTTTGCCGAAATCTTCGACATACCCAAGGCGGACGACGAGCTGTAGAAGTTGGAGCAACGGCTCTGCGAACTCTATTTCTAAGTTATATAACATAGGCGTTAAACGAAGAAGAAGATGGAGGATGCAAGCAACTCTGCAACTATTCATAATATGAAAGGGCAAACATAAACCATTCTAACAGATAAAAGATACAATTTACCAGATACAAGATACAAGCTACAAGATACATAGTTAACTACAACTACAACTACAACTATAAAGTTATGCATTAAATATTTAGCAATGTTAAAGACGTTCGCAAACATTTTAAGCCAGACACACACACACAGATACACACACACTCCCACACACTCGATTATAGACTTTGAGATACTTTTGTGTTCTTTTTTTTTTGTTATTTCTGCTTGAGCTCGTAGCCGTACATATCCCATGCGCAACATCAAGTTTTATTTATTTCATTGATCAAGCTCATCGAATCATGCACTATCCTAAGTAATCCTTAAATTCCACTCCCCAACTCACTCAATTCTCATATTGCAACACTTCAAAAAGCAAAAAAAAAAATGAAAAATTAAGAAAATCTCGACTGATGTTCGAAAAGTACTGTTCACATCTTTTTATTTAATTGAATAACAATAACAATAATTCTTATTGTATAATTAAACAAAAAACTACTTATAAATCTATATATATATCAAATATATACAATCTATATATATACATATATATGTAAACCTAGTGGTATCTAGCGTAGTTCAAGCAAAAAGACCCAAAACATTTTCTTTGCTCGTTTTTATTTTTATTGTAAATAAATTTTAAATTAATTTTTAACAATTTGATTATTATTTCTTTAAGTTAAGCTAAACGAAGCTCTCGCTTGGACTGTGTGAGAAGCAATGGCAAGAATCGATCATCGATCAGTGATTATCGATTATCGATTATCGATCATTGGAAACGTGTTCATATTCATTTCTTAAAAACATTTATATATCGCCTAATCTTAAGTGCTTCATTTGTATAACTTGGAACAATCAAAATGATTTGATGAATTTTTTGAATAGATTGGTGCTAAATTTTTTCTCTCTGTGTATTACGTTTCAAAATCGAATACATATGTTATATATATATATATTTGACTTCAAAACTTTAAGGCTCTTCTTTAATTGTTGAATTTATATAGAAAAGATTTTGTAAAAACTAAAAAAAAAATATTAAATATTATAGAATATATATAGCGGGGGCTACGCATCAGATCTAAGGGCGTAGCAACCAGTTTAATGCTCCATGTGTACCTTTCGCTTATTGAATTAGAATATCTATCTATAACGATATATATATATATATGCATGTGTTTATGTATGTGTATGTGTCTATATGTATCGAAAACTATTAACTAAACAATTGTTCTAGCTGCAGATCCAAGAAGTTCAGTGAAAACCTCCTGTGAATGTAGCATTAATATTTGATTTAACTAAAATACATAATTAAAATGATTAAATAATATATATAAATATATATATTTAATATATAGATGCAATTTTTTACCTACTGTAGCTTTGATTACATTTTTGAATAATGTGTCAAATTTTAAATGATATTTACGATTAGCAACTACATTCATTACATCAAATACTCCACTAAAAACATAAATAATAAAAGAAAAACAAAATATAAAATCAACAACTTTTAAAAGAGAACAAGTCGACTTCCTATTGCAAGCAAATCTTTCACTCTGTCTCTCTCCCTCTTGCTAGCTAGTGTAAGTACTCAAAGACAGTTAAAAAAAAAAATAATATATATTTATATATATATATATATATATATATATACATATATATATATATATGTATATATATATATATATATATATATATATGTATATATATATATATATATATATATATATATATATATATGATCATATCATATATCTTTATTGCTTTGCTAAACACTAAACACGAGTTCGACTTTAGCTGGAAAAAAACTATTTGGCAATTAATTTATCAATCTTATCAAAATCATATATATATATATATATATATATCATGTATAAATATATATATATCAGTGCAATATGCTAAACTTCTATATCTGATCTAACAATAGTTGTTATAAGCCACAAACTTTTCTGTCTACATGCCATAGAAAACAAAATTGCTTTACTATCGCTAAAACAAACTCAAAATCTTATATATATATATCTGTATATGCATATAATAGAGACAACAGTATGCATAACAATAAGCTACAGAAAGTAGATAAGAGTGCGTTATAGCAAAATGATATATAAGAAGCAAAAACAAGCGCCGTAAAATGTAATAAAATTACAGAAAAAAGTACTTGAAAAGCAAACAAACAAACGTCTTTGAATAAACCGATAGTTATACAAGTATATACAGACTTTTAAATTTAAAATGCCAGATGCTAAGAGCGATTAAACTATACTATATAAGTATTGAGGAACTAATTGGTTAACGATGGCCTTTGTTCACATATATATATAAAAGGAATTCATTTATTGACGCATGGTAGTATACATCTGTTTGCCCATATAGGTCAACAGTTTTATTTCGATTAATAATGGAATTGCGTTTAAGGTACTTGGTTAACAGTAATCAAATGCTATTTGGTTAGGCGTCAGCTGCAGAGAACTTGAAGAGTTGGCCGATTGACATATTGATTCCCTCTGCGCTGCTTTAATCATCTCTTGGTAGGGGCTGATATTGCGTCAGCAGCTTGGCCAGATCTTGGGCCAGCTGGGGGGTGGCAGCGGCCAGAACACGGCGTGACATGATATCAAAATCACCGCCGGCTGGATCAATGACAACGCCGCCTGCTTCACGCACAATCAAATCACCGGCGCAGACGTCCCAGGCGTGAATGCCGAATTCGTAGTTGGCATCAACTGCACCTAGGGCCACCATGGCCATATTCAAAGCAGCAGATCCCAGCGCGCGCAATCTAAAAAGCCAGAATAATAAATCAATGCGTTGAGCTAGCATTTATAATCGTTCAACTCACCCGTGCACATGCTTGGCCATTTTGGCAAAGTTCTCATTGACCACCTTCATCTTTTGTTCGTCGCGCGTGGTTCCGAACTCGCTGGTGACCAGCGCTTTGTTCAGCTCTCGCTGTCCACTGGCTTGAATGCGACGTCCATTGTAGTAGGCACCTTGACCACGGCGAGCCGTGAACCGCTGCTCCAGCATGGGATTATAGATTATGCCAATTTCCGTAACCTTATTTACCTTGAGACCCACGGAAATGCAGGAGTGCGGAAAGCCGTGCACAAAGTTCATGGTACCATCGACGGGGTCGATTATCCAGGTTGGCGCATCGGTCAGCTTATTGACTCCGGCACCGGAGCTGCTCTCCTCCTCGCCAATGAATCTGCATTAAGAAATGTATCAGGCATTGGCATATACATTCGAAGTGAAAGCGCCGACTTGTGATCCGGAAAATGCTGGCGAATACCGTCCATAATTAGCTTCTCGACATCCTGATCGGTTTGCGTGACCAAATCAATGTCTCCGGACTTGCACTCAAAGTCTTGCCTCGTCTCATTGTTCCGCGCAATCAACTAAATGAAAGCCCTTCAAATTATTTATCAACCACTCGTCGCGAAGCCTTAGCTTGCGACTTACCCGACCCGCCTCTGTTGTGAGATTGTTAATAATCTCAAAACATTTTCCCAAGTCTACGCTGTCCGCCATTCTGTACCAGTTGCTGCTTTAATACGTCTACTTAACGAATGAGTCTCTTAATTAAATTATGTCTACGCACAGCGCATGTGAAAAGTTTTAAATGCCTGTATCGAACAGCTGTTTCAATAGAGTTGCCAAGTGATGGCAAAAATATTGAATTGGCACACATGAACAAAGTTGAGGCTCTGGTGAGGCGAAACTCAGTTGTCTATCGATTATTAATTAAATGTAAGAAATTCAAAGGATTTAACAAATAACACAAATATTCATTAGCAAAAATAAAAAAATGAGACTAGCTTAATTATTGTAGTTGTTAGGAAAAATAACGGTATTTGCACTTGCAAAAATAGTGACTAAGATTAAATGAAGAACAATGAAATTACCGTTTTTATCGTTCCGCAAATTTACTTAATTACATTAATTTTGAAATAGAGTATTGAAATTTGAATTACTTAGCACTATGGAATGCTGTCGCCTTTGAACCCTCCGAGTCTAATTCATCACTTGAATCGGAAAACTCTGTCTGCGCACTGAAATCCTTTGTTTTGGGCTGAGCAGCTGGTGTCTCATCGTCTCTTGGAAGAGGATATTCCTGCACTAGTTCGGCAGCCACTAATAAGGCAAGGGGCTTAGTGGCCGCAGTTAGGACGCGACGTGACATAATATCAACTATACCGCCAGCCGGATCAATTACCGTGCCGCCCGCCTCAGTTATCAGAATATTACCAGCAACCATATCCCAGACGTGTAAGCCAAAAAAGTAAAAGACATCTGCGAATCCAGAAGCAACCATTGCCATAGCCATGCCCGAAGAACCAATGGAACGCAACCTGCAAGAAAATGCACTCAAATCAGTCGAAGACTGCCAAACTTAAAATTTAGCAGTTGGACTTGCCCTTGTGACTTGTTAAAAAGCCGCTTGGCATTCTCTATGGCTGATGTGCTTCGGATGTCGTTCGTTCCAGAGCTGTACTCCTCAAGCATTAGTGCCTGCTGGATTTCCTGCTGGCCGCTGGACCGAATCGGTTCGTTATTGAGCCGAGCGCCTTCGCCATGGCGCGCCGTATACAAAGCGTTCAGGGGTGGATTAAATACAACGCCAAAATTTGTTTCCTTGTTTACCATCACCGCAGCAGTAATACAATAGTAGGGAAAGTTATGTGCGTAGTTCATGATACCGTCAATTGCGTTGATGATCCAGGTGATATCATTGGTAAGGGTCACTTTTTTGGTAGGCAACTTATTTACCGCCTCCGCAGCTATTATCCTGCAAGGACGGAATGAAGCAATTATGTAGAAATTAAAAACTGAACTCTTTTGTCTTACATGTGAGTTGGATGCTTTTCGGAAATTTCTTTGATCATTGCTTGCTCAATTTCAATGGCGGTCTGCATGCTCTGAACGCACTCATTATCCTTTTGATTACTCGCAGTGCGTTGCTTGTTGTATGACAAGGCAGTCGCTCCTGACTTCCTGACTAAGTAAACCGCAAATTCGAAAATATCATCCATTTCCCCTCCAGCTTTGCTAGGAACCGGCGTCGGCTCTGCCACTGGTGCGGGTTCTGCTGCTGGTACTACTGCTGCTCCTGGTGGACACACACAATCAAAGCCCGAGGTGTTTGTTGTCTTCGATGCATACTCTTTCGATGGATTGAAAGTAACATCCGTATTGGTAGTCTTTGTTACTCCCAAGGTCTTTTCTTTGAAGATTTTCTTTTCCACCATCGCTGGCGGTGGATTGTAAACGAAGACTTTTTGAGGCGTCTCTTGAGCTAATTCAACTCGAGATACTTCATCGGGTACCTTTGCCGGCTCTGCAAACACAACTTCGGTCGCGGGAGTTTGAGGATTCGAAACTTGTTGAGTGTTATCGACAGTCGCTTTTGGGGGTGTGGGACCTTGTTGAATTTGATTTAGTTTCGATGTGCTTGGGTCTGTGGAAACAGCCTTTGGGGTGCCATACACTTTGGCTGGTGACGATGTACGCCGGTTCATCGAACGTTGGTTCTTTAGCTCGTGCACCCGCGGATCCCAAGAGGTGGCCTCATGTTCCTCGAGCCCATATTCTGTGGCAGCATTCTGTGGGTTTTCCGGGGCGTCTGGCGTGGGATCAGGTTTTTCTTTCTTCGTCTCATCGACCATGGCAATAAATTGAATGGCTGCTCCGTTCGCTGCTAATCTACCAACTGCCTTTGGACAGTTGCATGCTCGTAAATAAATGTGCGGCCTGGCCCTATATAAGTTTGCAGTACGTATTTATATATAAATATAAAAATATGTAAGGGTGTAAGAATGTTTAAGCCCAACTGAAATTTTTTGATATTTGGCCCCATGCCATCTAAAGCTCATCATCTCGTTTATGATATATCTGATTGGCAGCTAGCACCTGGACCATTCGGCAGCCCAGCTGGGGCGTTGCTGCGGCCAGGACACGCCTGGACATAATATCGACCTCGCCTCCAGCTGGATCCATGACTACGCCGCCTGCTTCACGCACGAGCAACGTGCCCGCTGCTATATCCCAGCAATGGGGCAAAAACTCCACGTACCCATCGGCAGCGCCCATGGCCACCAGCACCTGATCCATTACACCAGAGCCCGTGCTGCGTATGCTGTAAGGATCTGGTAAGAGAATGCAGCTTAAACCGTAAACCTTTATAGATCATTTACGCTTGAGCAGTGCGATAAAGGTCGACTGTAATCGCCCACAGCTTGTCCTTGTGATCGTCCGTCATGTTCAAGGCATGCAGCTCGTGCATGATCAGCGCACGGCTCAGCTCTGTCTGCCCGCTGGTGCGTATTCGGCGACCATTCAAATAGCAGCCACAATTGCGACGAGCTGTCAACTTGAGTTGCAATACTGGGCACGAGCATATCGCTAACTCTGGCTGCTTGTTCAGCCAGAAGCCCAATGAGATGCAGCTGTAGTGAAAGCCGTGCACAAAGTTCATGGTGCCATCAATGGGATCAATGATCCAGGTGGGCTCATTTGTTAGTTTGCGTCCCGTCGAGGCGCCAGAGGTGCCCTCCTCCCCAATGTAGACATGATCTGGAAACTCTCGCCTCAGGCCCTTTACCAACAAATTCTCAATTTGACGGTCTGTGGCTGTTACCAAGTCCTGATTGCTCGTTTTGGCTTCGAATACTCGAATCTTTTTATTCGCCTCCATCAGTAACTGCCAACATAGCAAATAAACTCTCTCTCTCTGCCTTTCCCTATCAATCCCCAACTCTTACCTCTGCAGCTTGATCAACCAGCTCGCAGCTCTGCTTGGCACATTCGTCGACGTCCACCACACAGTTGGCAGTTGAGTAGCGCTTGATGGACGCGCTCTCTAGTCGCAACAACTGCCGCCATGAAAATCTCAACATTTTTCAAACAATATTTATTGTCCTAATTTTTAAAATAATTTTAAATTAATTGCCTGCTATAAGTAGGAAGTTTGTCAAATCGATTAACGACCTTCCGGTTTCTCCTTAATCTCGGTGTTACAGTCTCTTGTGTCGATCCGTGCGTTCTCGGCAACTCTCGCAGTGCGCTTCTTTCTTTCGGCACATTTTTGACGGCCCGTGATTTTGATGGAGCCCCTTCTCTCCACTATTTCATACTCTGGATGAGACTTTTTGAGTAAAGACAAAAGGTCGTCTGTCCAGTGCCGCATCGAAGAGGCCGTCGTGCCTGCCTTTTGATCCTGATTAAAAAACAGCATAGCTGTTCCCATATGCCAAGCCTGGTGGCCAACCTTATAGAGGGTCCTCCAATTTTCCGATGGCTTCTTGCATCTGATCAAATATTTTCTGCCCAGTCTGCGCAGTCTGATTACAAATTATGAAAATGACGGCTGCAGTTATTCCTTTCGAGTGGCAAATAAGCTGACGACTTACCGTTGAGCCAGTTTTGTGAATTCATCTATAACCTGTTGTTTCTGTGAGCCTATTCCCAGTACAATGCTAATGTTCATATCATTGTGGTTGGAAGATAGGGTAGTAAATCCGCGTTGGGAGTAGCAGGGCAGAACTCTTGAAGAACTGTGCCAAGTGACTGGCAGCAGACATCGAATAAAACCGTTGCTTGGAGGAGCACCTGCTGTAATCACACCCCCATTATGCTCGCTTTTATGACTGAATAAGTGTCGATCGTCAGTTCACTGGCTGCTTCTAGATGTTTCTACTCACCCATTCATTAAATCTGCCTTCAATCTACTCTCAAGTAGTCTACGATTCCGATTCTTCCGACTTACATTTTGCGTGGCCATAGCGTGGCCGTGTCGTGTTGTAGAATGCCACATGGCCCGTCTGAGGGGCCTTCTAAGTTGTAGCCGGTACTTGTCGGACGCAACAGCATTGCTGTTGATCACACCGTATGGAATATTAAAGGCAACAGCGGCAAGCAGGCCTCGACCGCTGCTTAATCCCGAGAATCTCCTACTAATGCTCTGCATCGGCTTATATTTACAAAAAAAAAAATTTTAACTAATTTACTTATTCCGAATACCGAATAGTTCCCTATCTCCTGATGCCTACTTATTCGAATGCTTTCGTTTCAGATTTACGTGCGCTCATCGTCTCGGGGAGAGGGAAAAAGTTGCTTTATCACAGACACAATTTGTTCAGCTAGTTCGGGTGTACCCGCAGCAAGCAAGCGACGGGCATACATGTCAAACGGCCCTCCACATGGATCGATGACAACGCCGCCTGCTTCCCGCACCATCAGCACGCCTGCAGCCCAATCCCAGACGTGCGAGCCACAATGGAGATACGCATCGCAGGCTCCATTGGCCACTTGGGCCAAATTGAGAGCCGACGAGCCCATGCTGCGTATGCTGTAGAGACGCACCTTAGGATCAACGGACTCCGGCTACAACTGTCAATCTCCACTCACCCGTGTGCCGTAGTCCCCAGCTCAAAGATGTTAGACAAGCTCACAAAATCCACAGCTTCGTGCCCCAAAGTTGCGCACTCCACATAGACGAGCGAGTGCTTGAGCTCTCGCTGCCCGCTGACACGCATCCGCTGGCCATTGAAGTAAGCCCCATTGCCAGGTTGCGTCATATATATTTGCCTGAGCATCGGATTCTCTATCCACCCAAGCACACCTTTCTTCTCCACGTACAAGGCAATTGAGGTGCAGAAGTGCGGAAATCCATGGACAAAATTGGTTGTGCCATCGATTGGATCAATTATCCAGGTGGGTGCATCGGTGAGCACCCAGCTCTTGGCGGTGCCCTCTGTGCCCTCCTCGGAGATGATCTCGTGCTCGGGAAACACCTTGCGTATGCCGCTCACCAGCATGCGCTCTACAGCTCGATCCCACTTGGTGATTAGATCGCGTTCATTCGCCTTTGTCGCATACTTGGGCTTGTGCTCTTGAGCCCGCATCATTATCTGTAAATATTCCGAATGGAATACCCATGTTAAGGCTACCCGAGGAATCTACGCTACCTTGCCTGCTGCCTTGCTCAGCTCCGAGACTGCCTTGCACGCCTGGCCGGGGTCTACCTTGGAGTATTGCCTGCTCAGACAAGGAGAGCTCACAGTCCTTAAAACTACTTGCATTTTGGCAATGGATGTTCCGCAGAGAATCGGGTTTTTTACTAAGTTAAATATTGGGTTATTAATTTAAAGCTAGAAGTTTAACTCTAAGGCTCTTTGCCAGCCTAGCAGCTGAGCTACAGATGGTATCGTATATGTTTACGATATGGTTAAATACTATATTTTATGTAGGGTATCACAAGGCCAAGGCATGAGACCGCAACCTCGTTCCGCTGTCTAAAGCTCCTCTGGCGCCGTCTTTAGTTAGCCTAAATTAGACAACTCCAAATTGCATTCAAACACATTAAAACAAACTTTATTATACACATATATATGATTCGATAAATATATATATTAAATATGTATGTACACAATATATATCAGAGTTAAATAATTGAAGTTCTTCCCTCATCGACACACACGCTAAAGCTAATCAACTTTATACAATCAGACAGGGCCGCTTCTGGGACGACCCTCCATTAAGATTAAGAAGCACTACGTTCCATTCAAATCTCTTTCGACTCTCTCGTCCAACGGTGATAACTATAAATAACAAATACTTACTAAGGTCTGTTTGCAAACACGACCAACAATGGCATCTATATATATATATATATAGTTTAAATATATTATATAAATTTTGAGTTTTGCAGCAGTTTCTTTGAATGATATGTACTTGTTGCGGTTAGTCTCCTTGCGACTATATAGCATATAGCATATACGATATATACGTAAATATGTATATCAAATAAATATATATAGGAATGTTGATAAGCTTTATGCAACACTGATATGTTTCGTTTCCAATCTTAAAAGCTAACGAACGTTTCGAACGTCTAGTAAATATCGCCACAAATATATATCTACGATCCGGACTTACGTGTTCCATAGAGGGCTAGGCTGGTGCTGGAAGTGACTGAAGATCGAACTCAACATAAGATAGTTATAAATATGTGAAAAACTACAAGAAAAATTCTCTAACGAACAAATCAAAAGTGTGTGTTTATGTGTTTTGTTAATGGATATTACTGGAATCGTGTATATATTTTGTTATATCAATTCTACTAAAAATACATACATAATCAATATATAATTAAATTTGTATCACAACGAATTTAGCAAGAACTTAATCTAAGACTACAACAAAGAAACAAAAGAACTGGAAAAATGTGCGTGCTCAGTGTAACATTAACTACGGTATATAAGGACACATACGATAAGAATCAAGAATCTGAATATATATATGTATAAATATATATATAGAAAGTAACGGGTGCATTTCGTATTGGTATCCAAGTGCTTGATGAATCATTACTTACGCACGCAGCTTACGAACTAAGTGGAATCTGTAAGCCCGGCTTGCGGGGGCGGGCGGGGGCCAACAGTTAAACGTTAAACATAGATAATATGGAGGAGGAGATTTACAAGATTCATGTGGTTATAAGCTGATCAACTGTTAGCCTATAGCTAGGTAAAGGTTTACAGAGCAGCAAGGTCATTCGATAAGCGAAGAGTAACTGCATCAATGGGTCTGTCTACTTGGCCTCCACGGGTCGATTAGCGAACAGCTGCTCCACGATTTGCTCGTCGGCCAGCGTGGACGTGTCGCCCACGTTGCGATCGTTTACGGCGATCTTGCGCAGCACACGACGCATAATCTTGCCGGAACGTGTCTTGGGCAAGCCGGGCGCATTCTGTATAACATCTGGCATGGCGAAAGGTCCGATCCGATCGCGAACCATCTTCTTCAGATCAGCGATCAGTTTTTGGTCGAAAGCCTCGTTCTCATTGGGCGTGATAAAGCAGTAGAGGCATTCGCCCTTGACTGGATGCGGACGAGATACCACAGCCGACTCGGCAACTCGTGGATGCTCCGTAAGCACAGACTCCACCTCAGCAGTGGACATAAGGTGACCAGAGACATTCAGCATGTCATCCACGCGACCAGTGATCCACAAATAGCCATCAGCATCGCGACGAGCGCCTACAAAACGAAGATTCGTTATGCATGTAGATATTAATAGGAAGGCATAGTTATACACACCATCTCCGGTGCAATAGTAGCCTGGAAACTTGGAGAAGTAGGTGTCCTCGAAGCGTTCATGATTGTTGTACAGCGTGCGCATCATGCCTGGCCAGGGCTGCGAGAATACCAGGTAACCCTCGCCCTCGCCCTTAATCTCAATGCCGCACTCATCCAGCAAAGTGGGCTTGACGCCAAAGAATGGAAAAGACTGCGAACGCAGATGTATTAGATAAGGCCTAGAGCATACATATCGATTCACTTACAGCAGAACCTGGTTTCATGGGCGTGGCTCCAGGTAGAGGGGTTATAACATGGCCTCCAGTTTCCGTCTGCCAAAATGTGTCCACAATGGAGCACTGCTCCTTGCCAATGTAGCGATAGTACCAAAGCCAAGCCTCTGGATTGATGGGCTCACCAACGCTGCCCAAGACCCTGAAGGAGAGAGAAAGAGAGAGGACAGAGCGAAGCTCGTTAGCTTTAAATTTTACTCCGGTTTGACAGGAAAACCTACTTGAGTCCGCTCAGATTATGCTTGAGCACTGGAGCTTCGCCGAACTTCATGAGCGCGCGTATGGCCGTGGGTGCGGTATAGAACTGCGTGACCTTATACTTGTCAATGACGCTCCAATAGCGATCGTTGCCCGGGAAGAAGGGCGTGCCCTCGAACTGCAGGCAAAGTAAAAATAAAGTTAGTTAATTTAATAAGCATTCGCCGGCTAATTGCGCACGTACGATAATGGAGGTGGCGCCGTTAGCCAGGGGTCCGTAAACCACATAGGTGTGTCCAGTGATCCAGCCGACGTCGGCAGTGCACCAGTAGATGTCACCGGGCTTGTAGTCAAAGACGATCTTGAACGTGGTGGCTGCGTAGAGCAGATAGCCAGCCGTGGTATGGAGCACGCCCTTGGGCTTGCCCGTGGAGCCGCTCGTGTAGAGCATAAATAGGGGATCCTCGGCATCCATCCACTCTGGATAGCAAGCGGGCTCCTTATCCTCCATCTCCTCGTGCCACCAGTAGTCGCGATCGTCAGTCCACGGTATGTCCTGGTCCACATGATTATCCTGGCAGGGCGTCACGCGCTTCAGGTGCGACACCACAATGCATTTCTCCACGGAATGGCCCATCTCGTCGACCTTTTCCAACGCCGTGTCGCACAAAGCCTTCAGGTAGAGCGGCTTTTCGCCACGCCAAGCGCCATCCGCTGTGATCAGCAGCTTGGCCTTGCAGTCGAACATGCGTTCCGCCAAAGAATCCGCCGAGAATCCGGCAAAGACAATCGAGTGCACGGCACCAATGCGGGCACATGCCAGCATTGCAATGGGCAGCTCCAGAATCATGGGCATATAGATGGAGACCCGATCACCCTTCTTAATGCCATGATCCTTCAGCACATTGGCGAAGCGGCAGACCTCCTCCAGCAGCTTGCGATAGGTGAGCCCACGCGAATAATCATCCGGGTGATTGCCCTCCCTGCAACATTATAAGAAATAAATGCGGAAATTAATAATAAATCCATTTTGGCAATCTGCCCAGCTAAAGAGAGAGAGAGAGAGAGAGAGAGACAGAGACGATGCCTGTCCACAGCTAAGTGGATACCTATTTAAACGCCCACGCAGCACTTCAATTGGATCACTTACTGCAATTTGATGCTTCCTAATTGTCGCTAGCTATTTCATTTGAATTTGCAACATAATTTGATGATTTGATAAGCGGCTCTCGCCTCTCTTCCCTAGTTGCTAGCTGACCAGCGCCTTTCTCTTTGATTCTCAACTTGGCAACAAAAGCCAATAACCGACCGCAAATCGCGACTGCTGCATCGACTACTTATACATATACTGCATATATATAACGTGTAATATAATATATAATAGTCATCGACCTAAGTACACCCACGGGACGAATTTTGACTGTAATGAGACAGTAGTCTATATACATGATCGTTTATATGTTTCCTTTATACAAAATATCCAAAAATATCCCCAAAAGAGCATATGATTAACGGATAATTCCCAATTTTCAAAAGAAAATTACTCATTTCTGATGGGAAAATTTTTATATTCACATATATTTTTGTATATCATTTTATCAATTTTTCAAATTTATCATTCATTGATTTAATTTTTTAAGTAAAAAAAAAATAATTTAACAATTTTTCTATAAATTCGTTTAACCAGTAATCTAATTTAAATATAATTTTTAGCAATTTTTAAAATATTCTCCAGCCAAAAACTGGTTGCTGTTCATATACTTTTGCAGCGCACTGTTATCCATTGAATTGTCTGGGTAGAATTAATTGCAACCAAATACAAAATGCATAAACTTAACAATGCGCCGTGCACAATTCAATATGAATTCGTGACGGATATATGTATATATATCTATGTATATTGTAAATTTGCTCAAGGACAGGTGGCAATAGAGAAAGCTACTAGCTCTACCTCTACGGTTACGGGTCTTGGTCTAGGTCAACTGTCGAAGTTCTAGACGTAGCGACGTGCAATTTAACACAAAAGCCACAGCAAAAAAAAACCTTTTTAAATGACTCAAATGCCATAAAAAATCTGTAAATCAATGACTAAATATTAATTTGGGTGTGTGAGGAAGGAGGTATCCAACTGCTTTGTCATTGGAACGATAAGATTTAGATGCCATTCAGGAAATAAATAAGTTACTAAAGCGCAATCGTGACGTACAAGAATCTATTTTAGCACTGCTATCATCGGCAGGCCGGGGCAAAGTACATTTCTTCCTCGAATATGCTATGAGTTGGCCTAGATATAGTATATATGTAGGAGGTGCGATAGTCGCTACTGTAGCCTAGCGAAATAATTTTCAACGCATGTGAAATGAATTGTATTTAATTAGTAAGATGTTAAAAATATATCGAAAACAAAAACAAATAAATGCTTGATAAACGGCGAGCAACAACAACACAATGATTGCAGTGACTGTTAAGCTAACAGCGCTGTTAAGTTAGCCTGTGCTTAAATCAAGGCCATTGCTCTCTCCCTCTCTCGCATTTTCACTCTCTGTGTAGTTTAGCAAGCACATTATTGCCGCACACTTGTCAAACTGTTGAGTATTCTCTGCAAGTGACTAATTATGAGTGTTAGCTATTCGGCCTATGGCGCGATGTTTTCTGTGCTTGCGCTGAAGTGCTTTCCATATAAACAATCGTAGCGTTTGTCGCTAGACAATCTTCCAGCTAATCAATTTACTAGGTAATCACACACATCGCCTGGAAACCAATTGAAAGACGGCAACAGCTCATGATCTTGACCGGAGACGGGGCCACTCATTGGCAGCAGACAGACGCGTGGCCCACCTCGCTTATCGCAAATCAAAAAAAGTCGCATTTTTTGTATTGGGAAGAAATTCACGCACGCTAGAATCATGTGAGGGTGTGCGACAGCCGGCAACGGCAAAAACAACAGCAACAAACACATTAACAATTATCTTAGCGTAAGCAGCTGTTGATTCGCGTGTCTGAAAGTTAAACAAAAACAAAACACTAAAACAAATCGCATCGAATGTTTTCATTTGTTGTTGGCGTCAAGAATTTAAAGTTAGCTTATTTTTGTGAAGCTAATGTGAGTGAGCGGTCGGCCGGCCTGCCCTACAGTTTGATATCAACATCGTATGATTTGTGTCTAGCCAAAGTAGCAGATGCTAACTTATGCAAATTGTTATTTTTAATGTCGAATGTGATGAGAGTGTAGATTGTAGGGTGTAGAGTGTAGAGTGTAGAGTATAGAGTATAGAGTGTAGAGTATAGAGTGTAAAGTGCCGAGTATGTTCTACTATAAAGAGGGCACCTCAACAATTTGATACCAATTACAAATGTGCACTGTTGCGAAAAGTGATAACAAAACGTGGGCGAAAGGGAACAAACAGACTGACATGCATATGTATGTATGATGACTGCCCAATTAATGTTGTTGTTGCCCATGCTTGCCCTTTAGTTGGTGTCAGCACTAACAATAATTTCGTTTCTTTTACACATGTACACACACACGCACGTACCAACACACGCACACTTTTTAGCCGGTTTAGCGCATGTGTGAATGCCTATGAATTCTCTTTATGTGATTGGCTGTGAGTAATCGGACGACATGATCGCGTGATTTTCGTGGGCCGCTCAGTGCAGCTCAAACTGTGTAGGAAGTGCTGTGACCTGCAGCGCGGAAGCTGCGCTTTGAGCTGAATCTTTTAACTTTTGACACTGGCATTGTTTCTTATTCTGGTTTCTCTTCTTCTTCTGTTTGTGTCGGCATTTGTTCATTGCCAGACGTTGTGACATACATTAAGGCGCGAAGTATTTGATTTGATTTCGTTTTGTTGCGTTCACAGCTCGAATTCAATTTGAATAAACAATTTGAGCACCTTGTGCTAATCGCACGCTTATATAAAACTGACAATACAAATGAGTTCAGGTGTGTCTGAATTGAAACTTATAATTTTATGGCACAGTAAAAGCGGAAAGAAAAAAAAGATTTTGCTGTGCTTTTCAACTTTATTACTTCGTCTATGAATTATCTGTACTTTCCTATTTCTTTTTTTTTTGTTGATTGTTGGTTATTACGCGCTTTATCTTATCTCTACTGATGAGCGTTTGTATTTGGGATTTCAGTTCAATGTTTTTTCAAAATATTTCTAGTTTGACCTTGCCAAGCTCTGCTCCATCTATGTATGTACCTGATTTCCTATGCTCTACAAATATATATTACGATTTGCATTTCTTTTCGCACGCGTCTTCGTTGAACTCCTGATAACCCGAGAGATTAGAAAAAATTAACATTAGTTAAAGATTTTTATTTTTTCTTATGTCGGGATTGATTTGAACTTTGTGAACGATAACCTGCAAGACATCAAATATTCCACAAAAATATGAAAAAGAAAAACAAACGGAAAAGACGCAATAAGACGTAATCGATTGCAATCTGAGGGCATTTGTGACTTTTGAAGAACACTCGAATCAATCGAGGCACCTGATTCAGTAATTAGACATTGATAAAATACGAAATAAATCAACTCGATTACAAATTTCAAGCGATGGGAAAGTCCTATGAAACGTATAGATTGTATTTCAATTGTACTTTTGAAGTATTTACATTAGTTTGTTTGCCAATAGGCTAGGCGAGGTGTTAAATATTTGAACAGAACAAAGTAAACATGGAGAAGAAAACTAATAAACTTTGCAATTTACAACTCAAATATTGTATACATATCGATATACCTGTGCTCAGAGCTCTGACATTGACCTTGCCAAGAAGTAGGCGCTGCAGCTTTAATGAATTCACAATATTCGGTCAGCTGTCAACTCGTAAAGAGCAGCAGGGCTCTGTCCTTGAAAGAGAAACAAAGAGAACAAGAGCGACCGACCTAAGGCAAAGTAACGGTGGCCGCTGCCGCTACCTCAGCCTAAGTTAACGGCGAACAGATGTTCCGTCTTCGTTCCATCTCGTGCCTGCGCACTGCAAGCGAGTCAAGGGTAGGTAAAGGAAGGAGGCGCAAGCCACCACGATGGGTGGCAGCACTTCGCCTACGTCACGCGCGCGTTTCGTAACAGCAAAAGCATGAATAAAAAATCAATACGTAATTATCCTTTACGTTTACTTTTGTTTTCATGCGTCGCACTCAAAGGGCCAGGCCAGCATTTGTTTTGAAACTTACCAGTAGTAGGCTATTTGATCGCCCAGTCCGTTGCGCACATTTCGATCGAGCAGATTGTAGCAAATGTTGGTCGAGGCGCCCTCCATCCATTTTATGGAGATGGGTCCTTTGGAGATATTGAAGTTGTATTGCATGAATTTCGAGGGATCCGCTGGCGTCTCCCAGTGAAATTGTTTCGCTACGCGAGACCAGAACTCAGCTGGATTGTCCAAGGACTCCTTGTAGAATTTCGTGTACTCGTCAAAACTGGATATGTAGGCATTACGGCTAATCGCCGGATTCGGACTGAATATTGATTTTTCCGTTGGCATTTTGCGTCTGTTGTATCTTTTGTTCCACTTGGTTGGCTCTGCAAATCTATGACAATTATCCTTTGCTCATTCAACTTGTCACTGTGCCCCTTGTATTAACTGTCACTTTGTTTGGCCCTTGACTAATAATGTGTGCGTGCGGCTGTGTTTCAATTTGTGTATGTGTATATGTATATATATATATATATAATATATTTATTTATTTATATGTATGTGTGTTGTTCTACTGCCCGAAGCGCACGACTTCTTGTACCGCACGGTTCGAGTTCAATTTGAGCACTGAGCGGAGCGCTCACCCGATATCAAGCTTTTTGCCATGCCGAGAGCTTTTGCCCGGTGAGCTTTTAGCGCGCGTACGAGAACCTTTCTCGCGCCGTCAAGTTCAAACTATGCGAGCTTATCAGCATCTGTGTTTGTGGGCTGACACTGGCAGACGCTCGACCTGCCCATCAGTTGCTTATCACCTCATCACGGAACGTACGTACATTTCCACGCTTGGCTCAAGGGTGTGCTTACTTTCAGTCCTTATCTAGAGCGACGTCTGCCGCCGTACGTAATCAGGTGATAATCGCAGCCTCAGCAACAGATTCCGTTACATGTTGCGTGCAGCGGCTATTTCCGCTGTGAGCCAACGCCACGCTGCTTGGCAATGATCTAACATTGAGTGGAATTTGAGTGGTTTGATAAGAGCTCACTCACACGCTAAGAGCGCACTCTCGCTTGATCGCTCGCTCTCAGCTCGACTGTCTTATCAGTCGCAGCCGTTGTGATTCCATGGGGGAGCAGCGATATTGAGGAGCCACCCGTAGGTCACTGTGATTGCGATTGCGATTGTGATTGTTTCAAGTGTAATATTTGGCTTTTAAGTTTATTCTTAGAGCATAACGAAATCCAATGGATATTTGTGTATTTTTTAACTGTGTGGATGATAAGAGTTTTGAGTTGGAGGCGAATTGTCAATGAGTTTACAGCAAATGTTTTAATGAAAGCAATTATCTCATAACTGACTTAATGATCTTCGCTGTTGGCAAGAAAAACCTTGTACTGCTCCTCAGTCATAAGTTTCTTTAGTTCCGTGGCATCTTCGATCTCTACCTTGAACAGCCAACCTGCATTTAAAATAAAGTTAGAATTGCTGATTGCAATAGTGATGAACAACTCACCTTTCTCGTAGCAGCTGCTATTGACTAGGGCTGGTGTATTCTCGACTTCGCCATTCTTTTCCGTCACCTTGCCACTGACGGGCGAGTAAACCTCGCTGGCTGCCTTAACGCTCTCGAGTGCTCCGCACTCATCATCCTTCTTAAGCTCGGTGCCCGGTTCGGGCAGCTGTGCAAACACAACGTCGCCAAGTGCTTCCTGTGCGTAGCTGGAGATGCCCACAATGGCTTTCTTGTCATCTACCATCTCGACCCATTCGTGTTTGTCTGTGAAGCGTCGCTCTGTGCGATGGAAAAGATATTAATACCTTATACATTTTCAGCTGACTTCGCACCAATGGTTCTCAAACCGTTGTTGTGTTTGCCTCGTTTGATTGCATAAATGTATGGGTTTACCTTTGTCGAGAATGCAGCTGACATGGAAACTGCGCCACTGTGATGCTGGAAGAGGCATGGCACGCACCTGGCGAGCCATTTGTACACCAACACGAGCGAATTTTGTTATGAAAACCATTTTCGTTGGAGAATATTAAATGCGAGTATATATGTATTTTTTCAACGATTTTCACCGGCACGTTATGTTCCCGAGTACGTTTCAAAATGAAATGAGCAGTATTAAGGCAGAGTACTACGTTTTACGGTCAACAATACGCTTTAAGTCAAAATCTGTCGTCAAATTCGACCGGCTTATCAATATTATGAATTATTTTTGTGAACTTTCGATTGACCTGTGTTCGATAGATATGCTCAAACTGCGTAACGGAAGCGCAATAATGAGCAACGTAAACGCAGGATGCCAATTACTTGACGTACATTTAGTATTTTTAGTACTTTTGCAACCAATCATGTGTTTTCCTTTGTTGGCGCTAAGTTTAAACTTTAAGAAAACATTTAGCTGTTACCGCTAAAATCAAAATAATTATTATATGACGTAGCACATTTGACAATCTAAACAAAATCGTTGCTGGGGTGCATGATTCAATAGAGCGTAAACTTTTAACATTAGTTTGCTCTCTTATCAGCAGTAGAACCAAAATCAAACACATTAAATTATACCGTGTGTGCAAATAAGTATAAATATGTATATTTTGTATATATTGTATTCACAGATAATAGCATATATACATCTATTGTTAGTTGACCGTAAATAAATAGAACATAATACTCTGATAAAACTACAATTGGCGCCAAGTAAATGTTTGTTACTTAATGTTAACTGCTCTACTTCTTGCTGTCTTTAATTGTGTGGCGAGGGCGTTGGCTAGGGTGGGGGCGTTAAATATTTGAGAATTATATGGATTACTTTAGGTAGAATTGCCTTGGCACACATTTAGTACTGATGATGACGTAGTATGCCATTGGGATTGGGGCTGGGCTGTGGCGAATAGTCGGGCATTGGGAAACCAGTAGAGGCCATAACTATTGTCTCTTGTACAGGACCCTGGGAGGACTGTCGTGCGGGTCTGTTGTTCGGGTTGGGCAGCGGATACTGCTGGAAGGCATCGATGCTGCGGAAACGACGATCCATCAGGTTCGCGTCGCGTGACATATGAGCAGCGCGGACAATAGCCTCCTCGTTTACCTCGATGGTCTCCGCCGTGGAGCGAGTCTCCGGCATGAAGGCATCATTGTTATAAGCCTGCACCTCGAGTCTATACGAATGAAAAGTATATTTAAAGAAAGATTTCATTAAAATTTAAAGACAAACTCACTTCTCCTCCTCGTAGGCGCGTATTGGGGGTCTGCTGCTAAGTATGTCGTTGGAGTCCTTGCGTGGCATGAACAGCGTGTCCTGTAAGTAAAAAAAATATTAAAAATTAAAACTTTCACATTTTTATTTTCTTATTCGAAGACAGCAGGAGTTAAACGTATTTATGTAGAGTGCATTTCAACAATAAATATACCCTGCAAGCGATAAGCTCTCTCTATATAAGACAATTAACTTCACCACGCCGCTTAAAAGCTGACAGCTATGAAACTTCCCCTGGGCAACGCCGGCTGCAACACAAATTATACAAGGAGATTTCACAGGACTAGATTGACGCAACTCTAGATCCTGCTCAAGATTATATATACGTTCTGAGCTTTGGCACGCCCACTTCTGCTTGCAGAGCACATTTTAATAATATCAATAATATCCTACTTTCAGTGTGAAAATATATATGAAAAATAATTACGAGAGCGTGCGCTGGGCTGCTGTCAGAGGCTGTCTGATATGAAACTACAAGCATTTATGTCGTACCCGAAAGATGCAGTCGAAATGAAAGAGCTAGAGTGCTGTAGCTGCCAGCTTTCGAGCTGCTACTGTTGATGTTATTAGAGAGAGAGAGAGAGAGAGAGAGAGAGAGACTGGGAGACTTGAATGATTACAGGGTATATTTGCAGCCGCTGCCAACTGAATTTTGCATAAAATTTAAACGACGACATAAAAATTCCCATTATTTATCAGCGAATGGGTAAGCCAGTTTATCGACTGCTGGACGCTTCCAACTGATAAGCCTCTGCCTACGTACATTCTCCGCACTTCCCGTGTGTACACAGAGCTCTAACTATAGACGTGTCGTAGGCGCACGGCGTAGTCATCGAAAGTATCACAATTTAATTTGTCGCTTACATACCACACACAAGAGACTCGCATGTCTACTTAGCTCATTGATCTTAGTAGTTAGTGGGGCGAGCTGACAACGGGACTTGGCTTGATTTATTGCAGCCCAATTACATGAGCCACGAGCTGTCAAGTCAGATGATGTCACTTACCGAACCATCCTTATCTTGGTTAATTTGCACCGCCCGCGACACCAGATAGATGAGCAAGTGCAGGTTGATCAGCCACATGATGAAGCCCTTGAAGGCGATGATCATCATTGATATGGCTGCCACGCCCCCAGCGACAAGCTGCGCCGCATTGGGATCCACGTAGCCACTGTTCATAGAGTTCGCATTGAAGTCGGATGCCCGCCCATGGAAGCGGCTATAGTCAACGCCAAAGATAACGCCAGCCACCAGATCCATGGCACAGATGACGCCCACGAAGAATGCCCAGCTATAGATCACGCTCAACGTCTGCTTCACATTATCTTTGTTCAAGGCTGCAAAGGGGACGTTGCAGAAAGGAAAATATAATTGAGGAAATCAGTTTCACGCTCATCTATCAAGTGGACAATTAGTACAGTAATTACGTATGAATGATAAAAAGTGCTTGACTCTGACAAGGAGTACATTCCTAACTAGCTGTGTGTGAGTGTGTGTAGTGTGTGTGTGCGTGTGTGTGTTTGTTGTTATACCTAATCAGGAACTTGAGGAAAACCCTCATCGTTTATTACACAACACAAATATTAAATACAAGTAAAAAGACAAGCAAACGAAACGTTCCAATATACCCTGTACACATTAAGCTGACTAAGGGGCATGCTGCACGCGTATTACAATGTAGATCATAAGTTGTGTGTGGAACAAGTCTGAGCTGAACTCGAGCTCGAACTGCTTGATCCAAGGAACATCTTTCTGCCTGTTGCTTGCTGTTAGGAAAAGGGGTATCTGCTAGTCAATCACCATAAATTGGAGCACACATTTGTTAGTTACGGGGCTTTTGATTTTATCTTTGGGCTAAGCTGCTTGAATATAAAAATGTTATTGAAATGACGTTAGATAGTGATAAAAGTAACTTTAACTTTATTGAAAGGCCGCGCCACGTGAGTCACCCAAACTAATGAAATTGCAATTTCCGTCAGCGTAATCAATGCCAAAAGATGAAGAGATATAAATATTATATATTATTATATATATATATATATATATATATATATATATATATATTGGGGAGGTGGCGCGACTCACCTGTCAGGAGCAGCAGCGATACAATGAACCAGCAGACCGCGAGTCCAAGGTAAACGCAGTCCCAGATGAGCAGCTGTGTGGGATCGAAGACGGTATCAACGCTATTGATCATGGTGCGATTGTAGCTCTGATAGGCATCCAACGACATCTTGCAGCTGCCGTGGAAGTAGACGTCGAAGAAGATGAACTTCACGAAGTTGCCATAGTTCATTTTGTTGCCGATGTAAATGTTGCAGGTATACGCAATGATTGCCGTTATCGTCAGACCGATCCATATGACAGCTTGCACCTGTAATGAGCAGGTGACAGAGATGGAGAGAGGAAGGTGGTTAGCAGTTGCGAGTGGGTGGGCGGGGGGCAGCTTGTTTGTTGACACACGTCAATGGGCGCATTATGTAGCTTTTTTGTGCAGTCAAGTGAATCAGTTTTCGATAGCGACTGCGATTGATTACGCGCAGCTGATCGGCGGAAAAAATATGTGTTGCCTGCTCTTCAGTTCAGGTACATTCCCCAAAAATGAAACTGTAACTGTAACTGGAACTGTGCCACAGCTGGCCAATAGATGTCGCTCTTATCGAACGCTCGAATGAGGTCAGGCTAAGATAAAGTAGTTCAAGTTGCAACAGTTACTCACCAGGCCGAGGGCACCTGCCCAGTTGGCCCAGGTCTTGAGGGAATCAAAGTTCCTAATGCCCAATGCTGGACGCCCGTACATTTTGACTGACTACCTATATCAGACGTCCACACAACAATTACTCCCACAATCGACGATTGCGAGGTGCTTTAAACAACTAAATCAACCGGACGCGTTGAATGGAAATCGCAGCGGGTCCGTAACATGGGCTAATTAAGTTTAGCGATTTTCAATTTGTTTTTGCGACTCGTTTAATTTTCGATAACACTTTGAATACTACGGCAGCAATAACAACAACAATAACAACAGCCACAAACTGGCCAATAAAAAATTGTCTGAGCACACTTTTATTTTCAAATGTTCGACTTTACACGCTGAAATGCGTTCGCTTTTCGTATCGTTTGGCAACTGAAAATGCGTCTTTTTGGCCACGGGCACTGCTACCAATTATATATATATATATATATGTATACCATTATTATTATTATCGGTGAACGGAGGTTGCTGATAACGCTTGCTTCAATATTGCCAAACGTGGAGTCTCTTGCCCCTGTCTCCCTCATTTGCCACCCCCATAAACCGTTCTTTGGACGTGCAGAATCGTGTGGAACATATATAACAAATCGCTGTGGAATCTTATCATCCCATTAGGAATGTTCAAAGTTGTAAAGATATATCAGCTATAAATTCTAGAGTGCAGCATAACCTACACAGCAAAATTTGAATAGCGCGCGCATTTGGCGACACCTAGAGTTAGTTTGCAGTACTAGGCGGAACAAACTAATGCACTGACGTGTCGTACGAACTGCAATGCGTTACTGATAAACGTGCATAATTTCCTAAAACATACAATTAACACTTAAACATGCATTTTATGTTTGCGGTAAATATTTCACTTGCATTTTAACAAAAGTCTACATTTGTTACACACTCAAACAATATGTAAATAAGTTTTATAATATTGCATGATGTTTGGCACACGTCAATTGATGTTTGATTTGCGTGTCGAAACGTGTATGTCTACCTAAACGGCCGCCATTTCCGCATCGTGTAAAAGAGACAGCTGACTATCGCATTGGCAGCTAACCCGCCATATGCGTGTGCTGAAACGAGACAACTATATTACGCGCCGTAGCTCAGAAGTATTTAACCCTAAATAATACAGCACTCTCGATAGACTTTAGTACAGTCGAAGTGACGCCGCGGCATACAAACTTTAATGAAAACCTAAACAAATTGTTGTCCGCTTGCCGAACAACAAAAACGACAGGAAAAAAGATTATAAAAATAAAACAAAGTGCCGATTGTCAATTGCTTCAAACTGTGCTCGACTCAAAATAAATGTGGTAGTGAATGCAGGCGGTTTTAAAGAGAAAAAAATTTTAAAAGAGATACTAGAATAATAGCCAGCGAGATCCACATAGAAACACACAAAAACAGACACATTGCACACACTCGTATATAATGAACAATCAACTCAACCCGGCCACCTACCGCAAATTCAATAATTTGCTCAGCAGCGGCGCAGTCACCGTCACCGGTCCCGGTCAGCCACGCATATTGAAGACGACGCGTCTGGCGACGCCCGCATCGAACGTCGCAGCGCAGCAGCAGCAAAGCATGATGGACTCGGATGCAGCTGCACGTTGTTACATCTGTGACGAGCCACTGTTGGCCAGTCAGACTCAGACATCGCTAACTGATATGTGCACCACGCACACCTCCACCAAATTTCCGAATAAGCTGGCCCAGCTGGTGGGTGAGGGCTTCTTGGTGATTGTGTGCAATGAGGATTTCGTTTGTTCGCGCTGCACTAATCTGGTCAACTACTTTGATCGCTTGGAGAATGACGTAGAGCGTGTAAAGTCGAATCTTTTAAACTTGCTTAATAAAAAGTATGGCATCAACGAGGACAGTGGCGGCAGTCATGCAGACGCCGCTAGTCCTCCGCTCAAGATGCAAAAGCTAGCCGGGGGCGTAGGCAATCGCTCTATGGAGGAGTCTGGAGGCGGGGAAGTGTTGCGCACACGTAAACTTGTGCAGCAGACGACGCCAGGTGAGCACTGGTAGCTGGCCAAATATTTGTCAGCCTTATTAACTTTCTCCCTTTCAGTCTCGCAGCAGCTGAAGCTGGCCACAGGTTCACAAGGCACTGTAGGTGGCACACAGACTGCAGTACAGCGTAAGGCAACAAAGATTTACAAGTGCACCTCGTGCGATTACAAGACCTCGGACATGCGTCTGTTTAACACTCACTACGAGACCTGCAAACAGCAGACGTTCCAGTGCAAGACCTGCCGCAAGATCTTCCCACATTTTGGTGCCATGAAGCAGCACATGGTCCGGGATCATAATACGGCCATGGACAACACGTGCGCGATGTGCCACATCAATTTCGTTAACGAGGCCAGCCTGCGCAAGCACATGGAAACCAATCATGCTACAAATGTGCTGGTCACTAGCACCACAACCATACCAGCAGCTGCAGCACCTGTTACAGCGGCAGCTGCTGCTGCTGCAGCAGCAGCTGGCGTCACTGAATCCATTGGCGCATCCGGCTCAGCTCTGTACACATGTAATCACTGTCAGTTCAAGTCGACCGACAAGGGCGTCTTTGATGAACACATGCGCAAACATGTCAGCGGCAAGCCGAAGCCCTTCAAGTGTCGTCTCTGTTCGCAGCGCTTCGAAACGCGTGAGGCGGCCACCATTCATGCCAAGCAGCATCAGACGAACTACTTCAAGTGTGGTCAGTGCGCCATGACGTTCCCCAAGCGTGAGCTGCTGGTCAAGCATGTTGAGCTGCATCAGGCTGAGAAGCTGAATGCTGCAAGCGGTGGCAGCCAGAACTTGAACACACAAAAGCTGCTGCAGGAGACGATTGATGAGGCGCTCAGCGATAGCGTGCCGGCTCAGGCAGGCGCCACTGTTGTGGCCAACGCTGCTGAGGCTGAGAATAACATACGTTTCTTCTCATGCAGCATCTGCTCGCTGACCTTCATCCAGGAGACGTACTACAATCACCACATGGAGACGCATAGGCGCGATAAGAAGGGCTCAGCTGCTGGCGGTGGCGGTACCACAGCCCTCAACTCGGCAGCCACAGCGCTGCTCAGCGATGAGCCTGGAGATGCGGGCGCTGGCGCCAAGGAGGAACTCAACGAGCAGAATGCCGAGGCGGATATTGAGAGTCTGTTCGAGAAATTGCATTCGGATAAGAACGATAGCGAGAAGACCGGCAAGAATGAAATGGTCATCACCTCGCAGGAGGGCAGCGGTGGCATCACCTTCAACATAACCATACCACAAGTGGATGCCAGCGGCGAGCAGGCAGAGAAGCATTCGCCAAACTCGCAGGCACCCGTTTCGGTGAGCATTGACATGCCTGTGCTTGACCAAGCCGAGGAAGACGAGTCACAATCCCAAAGCAGCAACGACAACAAAGCAGCCGAAGCCAGAGATGGCGGCAAGTCGAATGCAGCGCCTGTTTCGATGCCCAGCCTAGACGATGATAATGAGGCAGCGGCAGCCAATGCAGCGGACACAACTGACGGCAATACGGCCAGCAGTGGCAAGGCGAACGAGAAGGTCGGTGTCAAGGCAGACCAATCAGCAGCTAAAGACAAGTCCAAGGAGGCCGAACAATCTGGCGACGCGGAGGGCGACGCAGAGAAGCGCGAAGCCAATGAAACACCAACGGCCGAGCAAGCAGCTGATTCGGAGGCAGCGGCCAACGAAGCTGCCGAGGCTGAGGCAGCTGCCACAGCTGAAGGCGAGGCAGCTGAAGGATCCGCAGGCGAACAACAGGTGGCCATGGAGTTGGATGAGGCCATGCAGGCTCAGGTCGATGGCGGCCAGATTAAGTTCATTGTCAATGAGAACGGACACTTGCTGCAGCTGGACAACCACATACTAACCGATGCCGATGGCAATCAGATCATAGTACAAGATCCAGAGCAAATCCAGCAATTGCTGCAAAGCGTGGGCGTCCTACAATCGGGTGAAGGTCTCGAGGGCGAAACTTTGCAAATGATGACCGACGGAAGTGGCCAGATGGTGCTCGTCCATGGCGACAACAATGAGCAGCAGCTGATCGACGCCTCGCTCCTTAATTCCGAGGGCCAAATAATAATACAGCAAGGACAGGATGGTGAGGAGGGACCGCATGTCATCAGCGAGGATGGCACACGCATACCAGTCTCCGTCTCTTACAATGAGGAAGGCCAGCCCGTTATCCAGGTGCAACAGCAGGTGCTGGAGGCAGCGCAAGCGGGCGCCGATGAAAAGGAAGCCGCAGCTGCAGGCCAGGAGGAGGCTGCCGAGGAGGCGCAAACAAGCGAAACGGTGACAGTGACCACCGCAGCTGCTGCGGTTACCACCAGCACAGCCAGTAGTAGCACCGGTGGCACCGCTGGCTTCTTTGCGCTGGAAGAGTTCGCCGAGACGAAAACGGACTAGGATTGGCTCTAGGAGCGGGGCCGTCAACACTACACAATTCTGGCATGCGATGAGGACTGGTAAATGGACCCCATTAATCAACTGAAATTTGTTTAATATTAATGGGAATTTCTCTTCTTTTGTAGGTTTTAACAGATATAGACCAAAACAGTTGCTAAATCGAGCTCTGACAGAACTCTCGGCACAGTACCCCAAATATACAGACTCCCACACAACACTCACATCCGCATTTTAAATACGCATCCTCACACATACACACACACTTACACGTTTATACATACATTTAGCTTATGTATTAACACTCCAGTTGACAACATCAACAACAACAACAACATCTGTAATCAAGATCGAATCACTTCACAATTGCTGCCGAAGCTCATTTTTATTGGCCCTGGCAACTGGAATTGGCAATTGTTTTTTTGCTGGAATTCGCAGAGAACGTTTTAGGCTTAGTTTTAGCATAGGCAACAACAACAACAACAACAACAAAATACAAAACAAACTATAAAATGTAAAAAAAAACAACAAAAAAAGAAACAGTTCATAGATGATTACAACAGAAGCTTGAATTATTATAATAAATATACAAAACAAAACAAAAACAATTATAAAACATAAACACTAAATAAAAAAGAAAGAAAACAACAACAAAAGTTGTCTCAAAGTAGTTCATAATGGCAAGAGCTATGCACGAGCTAAAGCTAAGCTGAGCTCGCTGTTAGATTGATTCACAAATGATAAACACACGAGCACACAAAGATACATATATATATATATATATATATATATATATATATACGTGTATTGTATGGCAAATGTAAAGATATCCGATTGTGTATGAGAAAACGGCAAAGCAGAGTGTTTTATATATTTTTGCATTTCGCTTTAAGTGCTTGGAATTCAATTTGCATGTAGATGCAGATAAAGCATTTGCAAAGCCATATAAATATATAATTTTTATTATTCATATATAGATGAAGATAGATCCCGATAAGCTTGAAAACAATTCTCACAAATTGCAGCGTGCATTGAACCCAACTTGGCTTGACTTGATTAGGTTTCAGATATGCATAACTAGCTATGATACAATCTTTTCTTTAAATGCAAATAATCGAAAGTTATTTTTGTTAATGTTTGTAAATTTAAAGCCGTTGGATGTCTTTGTTTTCGGTGTTGATAATGTCGTAGTTGACATTGAAACTTTATTTTCAGTTGCTTTGACCGCTCTTTAGGTCATTTTAATTGGGTAATAAATCTTCAGATTGTTGGCACTAAAGTTTGAATCTCAAATCATGGCTTGACTTGTGCGCAGTTTGATACCCTACCTAGATGTTGGAGAGGGCTAACTAGGTTGATAGAACTAAGCTGATAAAAGACTAAAAGCAGAGCTCAGTAGCTCATTTTTCTTCAACTTCAGTTCTCTTGTTCTCTTGATCAGCAGGGCAAGCAGTGTCTAAGGTAGTCTATATTATCTAGTAATTTGAAATTTAAATCATTCTATATTAAACATTATATTCATAAAAATTATATTTTAGTCATACAATCTTATAATTGTGTAAGCTTAGTTTAAAAATTAGTTCGAAACGTTTGTCTTTTTTTAATTGAAATTCTTTTTTATTTTATATTAGTTTTATTTACTACTCTTTGAGTCTGTACAAATGTCATTGAGATGCATTCACACTCTGATTTATATTCCAACTTAAGGCGAAGACAGGATACATCTAAATACATTCAAGCCGTTGTTCGGCGTCCAATTAGCTTAACAATTTTTCAGTTGCTGAACCAGATCAGAGAGGCAAAAGCCAAAAGCATGCATCTTGAATTGCAAGAAGACGAGGATATTGAGTTGGAGGATAGTGACGATGAGGAGCTACAGACCGAGGACGACGAGGACGACGAGGACGACGAAGACGTCGAGAATGACGAGGACGAACAAGTTGAAATGGTGAGCATTTCCACTCAGACAGACGGCCCCATGGTCCAGCTTTGGATACGAGAGCTGGTCTATTCCCTGCTACTTGGGGTGCTATCTAAAGTGATTTGCCAGTGCACATGGAGCAAGTATATAAAGGGGTCTTATTGGCGTTTCTCACTCTACCTGTTGCTGATCTTTTTTGCAATTCTCTTAAACTTCCATGTGGTGCGCAGCATACGTGAGAAGTGGAATGGCATAACGGAAACTTAGTTCGATTCAAATAGAAAAAATAAAAAGAGACAACTCTAAAAACTTAACCTGCAAGACTCAGCTATGATGATATTTATTTTCGAAAGAGTAAAACTGAAAAACATATCACGAGGTATCAGCTAGTTAGCTATATCCGACGAGAATTAAGTTTGATATACACAGTATAAAATAGAGGTATCACCTAGTCAGGCATTCCTCACTAGAACACCAGTCTAGTAGACAGTCTGAGAGCTATCTTCACATCATTTATTTTCTTTACAAACGTGTTGAACTATCAAAGTTATCCACAGCCAGAATTCATGAATAATGAATGAATAATTTCGGAAAGTTTTGTTTTTTTTTTTTGTAAACGAATTCACGTAATGCTTCATCTCTGTTTAGTTCGAACTACGTTTTGATTTACGTTGAGCTATTTGGTCAAGCAGAATCTTCATTTGGACCATTCACCGAGCTGATTAAATACATTCCAGTCAAGGACGTGGCCTAAGTGGGATTACACAGTTGCAACAGTAGTTTCTGTTGTTGGTCGGCTTGAGATGAAAAGCTCGATTTGATGGTTGTCTTCGGTTTACATTTATTTATTACATAATCTCTAGCTCCAAGAGTCGGTCAACATCATGCAACGGCCTCAATTAGTCCAAATCGCCATGCAAATGAGTGCCATCAATATTTTCTGTTTCTGCTTTTGGTGTTACGATTCGAAAGTCGTTCTAAAGGTGGTTCGAATTGCCATTTGCAAAGCTTTAAATATGTCAGATATTTATCGAATTTATGATAAATGGATGCTATTAATTGAAGCTTTCAATGCGCACATGAATCAACTGCCAAATGAATCAATTTAATTGAAATTTGTTGAGACTTTTGAACTAAATAGAAATCTTCATAAAGCTTGAAATATATTTGCTGTATATTAACTCATATATATGAAACAATATTTCGTTATTATATCTTGCATTCTTTAAACTTTGTTTTTGTTATTGCTTCGCTAAATGTTTAAACAAATTTGACTGTCTGCAGCTGCTGCTACGCAACAGGTTTTCATTCCCCATAACCATAAAGCTGTCACAAAGGTGTGTGAGGCTTACTTTTTATATATTAAGAATATTTCATTTAATTTAGAGTACATACATAATAATATATCCATACATAGTACGAGTTTTGTCCAAGTATTAAAATTAAATAAATAAACATATAATTACGCCATATTTGAAAGTCGCGCATGCCTCATTGCAGCAGTTTCACTTTCAATTCATTTGAATACAACTCAGAAGAGGGTTGGTCTCTGATAGAATCAATAAAGAATTTCATTTAGCTATCAACTATGTTTATTTTTTGGAATTCTATATATATATATATATATATATATATATATATATATTATGTGTGCAATTTGAAGCGAAATTCACCATTTGCATTCGATAGCAATAAACATAAATCTCATCTCAATTACGTCTTTGCTACATATAATTCCATAATATTAATAATAATAATAATGTATTTGTATGACAGTCGCTCGATTTATCTAGATATACAAAAATGTATGTGTATATAATATATACATATATAGTCAGGATCACTACCAACGTCTCGATTTCTGCTCATCTACCGATGGATGCGAGCGTAGATACTCCAGCTGTCGATCCAAATGCTTTATGGCATGATCTCCACTCGGGTGATAGCCATTTTCATCAGCCACATAGGTAAAGGTTATGGGCAATCCTTCCTTGGATATATACTGGACCACGCCCACTGATCCATGCTCATTCCCGGCCCCCTTAGTGGTGATGCCATTGGAGGTTTGGTATTCGAATTGGTAGTTTCCCTTCGCATCTGGTGGCTGATAGTTATAGTAGATTGTATGGGGCGTTGCTGGGCGTGCGGTGGCAAATAACAGTGAATAGGAGAAGAGGAAGAGCAGCTGCATCAGCCGAGACTGTGGCAGGAATTTTGTTGAGCAGAGTTCAAAACACCAAATGAAAACAACTCACAAACCTTGACAAACAGGCGACGGCTTTGATAACTGGAATGCATCTCTGGGCGCGACAAATAACTGTAAATATATATAGATATATATATGTATATGCGAACGTTGATCTGTTTGTGATCTGAACAGCGAGTGCGTTGCGAGATCCGTGTGATACGAAAGTTAATTTGGAACTGGGATACAAACAATTGGCAAATGTTCAAAGAAGCTTACGCTTCATTTGAATTTAAGCAAAATTCTCTGAGCTCTCAGCTTTACCGGAACTTCAGCATTCTGTTCTAACTCAGTATCAGCAGCTCTATAAAATGATCGCGTAACAGTGCAACAAGCCACGACGAACTGCGTATATACTTTTAGATCGGGTAGACGGCATTCTTCTGCTATATGAGTTGGATAGGATTTCTAAGGATTTGAACTTGAGACATGGAATTTTAACTTGAAAAGCAAATGTCTAAAATGTATCTAAATGTATAACTAAAGTATTTAATAGATCATGATAAAGTAGTTTCAGAGCAGTATATAGCTTAATACTCTCATAAATAAAAATTCAAATTCAAACTCAATTTCTTGTCTTTATCTTATCTTCATCTTCTTTTATCTTTCAATATGGTTATCTACCTGTGATAACTATCTACCTTACTCTAAATATATGGATAAATACCGTCTGCAACAGAAAGATTTTATCAAGTCTCGTTTTAGACTCATAGACGCCCCGTTCATATAGACAGATGCATATTTATGATGACAACACCATCAAATATTTGCATTTACAGCTGGGTAGTACTTAAGATCGTTGGCATAGCTGACAATCATATGCAGATCTGCCTAAAATATTAGTGACCGATGAAACATCTGTAGGTGTGTCGTACAGTGGTGCAAACCTGTTTGGAAAGTGTCGCAATTATATATAATATAATTATAAATGATCTTGAGAATATATATTTAATTTAAAAGGCATGTAATTAGCCAGAAGGCTATAAAAAAATTAGGGTATAAACGCGCTAATTTGACAAGAAAATATAGAAAGATAACTGGTCCATCAGAGTTGAACGTAATTCGACTTGAGGCTTCATAAAATAATGCAATTAAAGAACATGCAAGTTAAATGCTAAAGGTAGATTTTTATTTATTTGCTACTGCTATTTCTTATGCTCGACTTCTGCGGCATTTGATTAATGATTAACACGAATATCTTCGATATGGACTAATGAACCAAAATTATGACCGAAGTGATCCGAATCGAAAATAATTGTCAAATTCAATAAACTGTAAACAGGTTTCGGAGCGGCACACACTTTGAACTGTTGCACCTCACAGAGCTGGCATCGCACTGTGCAGCTATCTCAAGGTATCTCGACCTAGACCTTGCACGACTTGACCACACCCAGCCGAAGCAACTAAAAAGAGATAGAGAAATCAAACTATTCCATATGCATAACAGTTCCCACTCAACTTTGCCGCGTCGCTCAAGGCGTTAAAAATCAATCAGCGCATCAATCCATTAATTATTATACGAAGAGATCTGCGACATTTGTTATTGATATTAAAGACATGAAATTGAGTTGTAGAGTTATACAACGTGATATCATATTGGAATGAAATGACATAAAATGAAATGAAATGAAACTGTATGCTTAATGCTGTAGGTTGTCATCTATCATCTATCATCTATCATCTATCATCTATCATCTATCATCTATCATCTATCATCTATCATCTATCATCTATCATCTATCATCTATCATCTATCATCTATCATCTATCATCTATCATCATCATCTATCATCTATCATCTATCGTCTATCATCTATCATCTATCATCTATCATCTATCATCTATCATCTATCATCATCATCTATCATCTATCATCTATCGTCTATCATCTATCATCTATCATCTATCATCTATCATCTATCATCTATCATCTATCATCTATCATCTATCATCTATCATCTATCATCTATCATCTATCATCTATCATCTATCATCTATCATCTATCATCTATCATCTATCATCTATCATCTATCATCTATCATCTATCATCTATCATCTATCATCTATCATCTATCATCTATCATCTATCATCTATCATCTATCATCTATCATCTATCATCTATCATCTATCATCTATCATCTATCATCTATCATCTATCATCTATCATCTATCATCTATCATCTATCATCTATCATCTATCATCTATCATCTATCATCTATCATCATCATCTATCATCTCTATCATCTATCTTCTATCATCTATCATCTATCATCTATCATCTATCATCTATCATCTATCATCTATCATCTATCATCTATCATCTATCATCTATCATCTATCATCTATCATCTATCATCTATCATCTATCATCTATCATCTATCATCTATCATCTATCATCTATCATCTATCATCTATCATCTATCATCTATCATCTATCATCTATCATCTATCATCTATCATCTATCATCTATCATCTATCTATCATCTATCATCTATCATCTATCATCTATCATCTATCATCTATCATCTATCATCTATCATCTATCATCTATCATCTATCATCTATCATCTATCATCTATCATCTATCATCTATCATCTATCATCTATCATCTATCATCTATCATCTATCTATCATCTATCATCTATCATCTATCATCTATCATCTATCATCTATCATCTATCATCTATCATCTATCATCTATCATCTATCATCTATCATCTATCATCTATCATCTATCATCTATCATCTATCATCTATCATCTATCATCTATCATCTATCATCTATCATCTATCATCTATCATCTATCATCTATCATCTATCATCTATCATCTATCATCTATCATCTATCATCTATCATCTATCATCTATCATCTATCATCTATCATCTATCATCTATCATCTATCATCTATCATCTATCATCTATCATCTATCATCTATCATCTATCATCTATCATCTATCATCTATCATCTATCATCTATCATCTATCATCTATCATCTATCATCTATCATCTATCATCTATCTATCATCTATCATCTATCATCTATCATCTATCATCTATCATCTATCATCTATCATCTATCATCTATCATCTATCATCTATCATCTATCATCTATCATCTATCATCTATCATCTATCATCTATCATCTATCATCTATCATCTATCATCTATCATCTATCATCTATCATCTATCATCTATCATCTATCATCTATCATCTATCATCTATCATCTATCATCTATCATCTATCATCTATCATCTATCATCTATCATCTATCATCTATCATCTATCATCTATCATCTATCATCTATCATCTATCATCTATCATCTATCATCTATCATCTATCATCTATCATCTATCATCTATCATCATCTATCATCTATCATCTATCATCTATCATCTATCATCTATCATCTATCATCTATCATCTATCATCTATCATCTATCATCTATCATCTATCATCTATCATCTATCATCTATCATCTATCATCTATCATCTATCATCTATCATCTATCATCTATCATCTATCATCTATCATCTATCATCTATCATCTATCTATCATCTATCATCTATCATCTATCATCTATCATCTATCATCTATCATCTATCATCTATCATCTATCATCTATCATCTATCATCTATCATCTATCATCTATCATCTATCATCTATCATCTATCATCTATCATCTATCATCTATCATCTATCATCTATCATCTATCATCTATCATCTATCATCTATCATCTATCATCTATCATCTATCATCTATCATCTATCATCTATCATCTATCATCTATCATCTATCATCTATCATCTATCATCTATCATCTATCATCTATCATCTATCATCTATCATCTATCATCTATCATCTATCATATCATCTATCATCTATCATCTATCATCTATCATCTATCATCTATCATCTATCATCTATCATCTACATCTATCATCTATCATCTATCATCTATCATCTATCATCTATCATCTATCATCTATCATCTATCTCTATCATCTATCATCTATCATCTATCATCATCTCATCTATCATCTATCATCTATCATCTATCATCTATCATCTATCAGCTAATCTATCATCTATCATCTATCATCTATCATCTATCATCTATCATCTATCATCTATCATCTATCATCTATCATTTATCGTCTATCATCTGCTGTATGCTGTATGCTGTATGCTGTATGCTGTATGCTGTATGCTGTATGCTGTATGCTGTATGCTGTATGCTGTATGCTGTATGCTGTATGCTGTATGCTGTATGCTGTATGCTGTATGCTGTATGCTGTATGCTGTATGCTGTATGCTGTATGCTGTATGCTGTATGCTGTATGCTGTATGCTGTATGCTGTATGCTGTATGCTGTATGCTGTATGCTGTATGCTGTATGCTGTATGCTGTATGCTGTATGCTGTATGCTGTATGCTGTATGCTGTATGCTGTATGCTGTATGCTGTATGCTTATGCTGTATGCTCTGTATGCTGTATGCTGTATGCTGTATGCTGTATGCTGTATGCTGTATGCTGTATGCTGTATGCTGTATGCTGTATGCTGTATGCTGTATGCTGTATGCTGTATGCTGTATGCTGTATGCTGTATGCTGTATGCTGTATGCTGTATGCTGTATGCTGTATGCTGTATGCTGTATGCTGTATGCTGTATGCTGTATGCTGTATGCTGTATGCTGTATGCTGTATGCTGCTGTATGCTGTATGCTGTATGCTGTATGCTGTATGCTGTATGCTGTATGCTGTATGCTGTATGCTGTATGCTGTATGCTGTATGCTGTATGCTGTATGCTTAGCTATGCTGTATGCTGTATGCTGTATGCTGTATGCTGTATGCTGTATGCTGTATGCTGTATGCTGTATGCTGTATGCTGTATGCTGTATGCTGTATGCTGTATGCTGTATGCTGTATGCTGTATGCTGTATGCTGTATGCTGTATGCTGTATGCTGTATGCTGTATGCTGTATGCTGTATGCTGTATGCTGTATGCTGTATGCTGTATGCTGTATGCTGTATGCTGTATGCTGTATGCTGTATGCTGTATGCTGTATGCTGTATGCTGTATGCTGTATGCTGTATGCGTATGCTGTATGCTGTATGCTGTATGCTGTATGCTGTATGCTGTATGCTGTATGCTGTATGCTGTATGCTGTATGCTGTATGCTGTATGCTGTATGCTGTATGCTGTATGCTGTATGCTGTATGCTGTATGCTGTATGCTGTATGCTGTATGCTGTATGCTGTATGCTGTATGCTGTATGCTGTATGCTGTATGCTGTATGCTGTATGCTGTATGCTGTATGCTGTATGCTGTATGCTGTATGCTGTATGCTGTATGCTGTATGCTGTATGCTGTATGCTGTATGCTGTATGCTGTATGCTGTATGCTGTATGCTGTATGCTGTATGCTGTATGCTGTATGCTGTATGCTGTATGCTGTATGCTGTATGCTGTATGCTGTATGCTGTATGCTGTATGCTGTATGCTGTATGCTGTATGCTGTATGCTGTATGCTGTATGCTGTATGCAGACAGAAACAAATGTTTCGTAGAATAAATAAAGCAATTAAAGAAAAAATATATATTATGTGTTAAAAAAGGTGTCAAAAGCGAGGAAAAAAGTCTTGAACGAGTTGCTTCATGGACATTATCATTAATACCTCTAGGTGAAGCTGAGATTCTCATGAATCTTAACTCAATATATATAATTAATTTAAAACTCGAATGGAATTGAGTTGAATGCGTGTGACAAATGCTGTCGCTGCTCTAAGCTGACAATAGATGTTAGACGAAGTCTTCATTTAAGTTAAGCATATGATTTAGTATAGAGTATATCTAAGTATACAAATGCATATCTTTATGGAGTAGCTTTCGGTTTCACTTCTAGTTGCTCGATTTGCATAACTGGCAAGTCAATCCTAACGATCGATCGATCGATTGATCGAATCAGTTGGTTATTGAGCTGTGAATCGGCCTAAAGATCTTCGCATCTTTTCTAGAATTAGTCGTTGATTGGCTTTGAAGCGGTTAAGAACTCAGCTGGTGGGCCCATTAACTGGTTGATACGGAACCACAGACAACTCTTTAAATTGTTCATGTTATTTTACGTGCTATCTCATGCTGTGTTCGACTGTGCGATTCTTATCAAACTCGATAATTTTAATATCAGTTTTTCATTGGATTGGCATTCTTAAGTGGCATGTGACGTCTTCCAAAGATTATTTTTAATAGCTTTAACCAAAAACATAAAAGTGGACGACTCGCAGCTTCCGTATTGTCGCGTCGCGTCATACTTGTCCAAAAATTATGTGTGCAAATTATTAAACACTTGTTAATTGGATTAAGTTGCAGAAGGTGAGATGAGAATGGCGGGAAGAAAGCTAATTAATAAGAGGACAAAGCCGGCAGTGTGCCCATGGATTATGCTTTATCTGAATAGAAAGTCTTAATGGCCAAAACGTAGATAAACAAGTGCTTGGAAAAAGATATCAAATACAAAGATGATGTTAAAAAGAATAGATTGTGACGGATATTACGGTGTTAAGCTTTACTTGAAGATAATATGTGTATGTAGACTGAAAGCTAAAAGTTTATAAGCATATTTACCAACAAATTACACAGATAAACTTTATTTAAACTCTTCAAATCATTTTCTCATTTCAAATCATTTATAATTTTCAGCATTTGGCTTCTTAACGAAAAGCCCTAAGATAACCTTCTTATAATTTATTTAAGATTTTAAAACTGTATTTTAACATTATTTTGCATACAAAAATGTCTGAAATATATGAAATTAACCCAAACATTATAAAACAATATTTTTTATTACTTAAACAGGTTGTCAAAACCGTATATATGTCAAAGTTGATTGGCCTAAGCCGCAATAATGCAAATTAAATAACATTTTTGTATCGAATATTTATAATATATTTCGGAACTAAGAACCGGAGAACTGGAACTAACATAAAATGCAGTCATAAATAAATATAGTTAGCTAAGCAAACAGAATTGTTGGCTATTAGCGCGGAAATGGACGAGTGACCATCGTTGATTGAAGCAACAAGCCAAGCCAAGCCAGCCAAGTCAGCCAAGTCAAGACAGAGAAACAATACAGCCGTGTTTATTTGCTTATGTTTATTGGTTTTTCTGTCGCTTCTCACATCGATGACTATGTTAGATATACGTATAAAGTTGGTAACACGCGCTCGATCAGGCTGCAGTACGTTGGCAAACTTTGAACCTCGCAGAGCTCACGACGCGTTCGTCGCGCTGTTAAATCGAACGAATCTATTTTTTATAAAAAACATTTAATTATAATTTATAATTTATAAGACTTACAAGTGTGTTTGTTTGTGTGCCACTCAAGAGTTATGCGAAATTTTGTAAGCCACTCGACCTTGTGCCAGTCACGCGACCCATATCGTCTCAATATGCTGATAAAGCTGTTTCCTCTCTCTCCACTCTCATTCCATGCAGCTGTCGATCACTTTGCTGTGTCTGGCCCTGCTGTGGTGTCAGCTGGACGCAAGACTGGTAAGGGTGCGTCGCATACGCCGTTTGGTGGGCCAGGATGAACGCTATGCAGAGATTACGGACTATCGAGTCTCGCCCTTGGACGAGCAGGGCATCTTTAAGTTCGCCTTTAAGACCAGCAACGGCATCGATGTGCAGGCAGCGGGCAGCGCCTTGGAGACCATTGGCATCTTCAGCTACACCTCGCCGGAGGGCGTGCCCATCGAGACGCGCTACATAGCAGACGAGCTGGGCTTCCATGTGGTGGGCAAGCATCTGCCACAGCCACCGCCCACGCCGAGCTACATTCTGCGCTCCCTAGAGTACATTCGCACCCACAACGCGGATGGCAGCCTGAAGGCCCACACCCTGTGAACCGTAGCTCGTAATCATTTCGAAGAAGGCTGATAATACCGTGTAGTAACCGACTAATTTCTATTTTTAGTTCTTGTATAGCTCCTAGATCGTGTCATCTGTTATAAATCATGTGCTCAACACCTTTACATAAATCTTACATTTAAATATAACTTTAAAATATAAAAATAATAATCAAATCTTATGCGTGTTTCAGTTTTGGTGTGATGACCCTAACAAATCAGCTCTCGTTACGAGATTAGCCATAAAATCTTTTAATATGTTAATCAAATCAGCTTTTTAACATTAATGCTTCTACTCAGATCGAAAATGAGATTCTATTTCGATTGCGACTTCAGTTCTTTCCGGGTGTTGTTGTACTACGAAAGAAGTCAGCTGGCTGTGAGTACAGTAGAATGATATGTGGCTTTGTTTTCTTTCAAGATTTGTCAAACTTGTTAGCGGTTTACGCTTATCAAGAGCCATACCACAAAGCTTAACGTTTGTATTTTATTTCTAATTATCAACTAATTCAAATCATAAGATTTTATATGCATCATAAAAGATTTCTATACATGTGTTGCTATAGGTTTTTGCTTGTATTCGTTTAAGTCGTCTACTTGGAGGCTTGTCCATTGTTCTTGTAGAATATTTGTTTTTATGATCAAAAATGTTATTGAATATTGCGGTTCCCAGAATCAGTTAAATTATAATGAGCTTAACATGCGCCTTACCATGTGCATTGAAACTTATAATATAATTTAATATGGCTTTCACTGATTCACTCTATAGCTAGATAGATCTATAATAAATTTGGCAAGATGCATTCACTTTTGCTGCTTTTTACTTTATTTAAATTTTTCTTCTTTATGAAAATCGAATATCAAATCTTTCTCATTTATCAATCCTTTAAGTTTGTCTTAAGAATAGTTAATCCTCTAGTTAAATCTAATATTTACTTAACATAATTTTATAAAATATTTCCAAATTTTCAGTCAAATGTTTCAAATGTATCATGAAATCTCCCAAGTCTCTAGCTTCGGTAAACTCGTTTTGTATGCAAATTAATTTAAAACAAATTGAAAATTGTTAAGTTATGTCTTTCATTGACAACACTAAGGATTACCATGAGGACTTAAGCTAATCCTCAGGCATGCTTTGGCAGCTGAAAATTCTTGGCATTTAATGAGAGAAACGAAATGTTTTAGGTGCTCATCTGCACATTAACAAGTCCCTCTCCCAACCCAATAGCATATTTTTGACTATATTCCCTATTTGAGTAAATATTAATTGCACGGAGTGAGCTGCACGGCCATCAAGTTCATTGCAAGCATCTTTGACACGCTCCTTGGCATCGGGCCACAGAGAGAACTCATCAATTTGAGGCAGCATTCGCAATGATCATCAGCAATGGCTGCTGATCATACTTTCAGCTGATTCAGATGATGATGATGATGATGTTCTTAAAAATAGGCCGACGACGTCGTCGTTCTCCCTGTGGACGGCAGCGGCACTTGTGCAGAGCTCTCGCGCTAATTTGCTTTATGATAGACATGAAGATCAGCATAAATATATCTTTTTGGAGACAAATTTCTTGGCTTCCCTTGCGACGAATCGTCAGTCTTGCCTTGGCGCTTGTGGGGAACGGTACGTTGTCTCCTTTCAGCAAATCCTTGGATTTGATATCATCAAGTGCAGCCTATCTTTATATCCATATCCATCTCTATATATACTTGCTCGTGGTGTTATTTGAAGTTCTTATCGAGTCCGCGGACAGATGTCGGCGACTGATTTATAGTTTTCATATAGTTCTGTGAGTGATGTGGAGTGTTCTTATCGCGTTGACAAATGTGAAAATAGTTTTTTTGTGTTCCTGTACCACTCGAATCGAATCTACATATATGCAGATGAAGTGATGCTGTGCTATTTATAAAGCCGCCTTAATCTTAATGGATTTTTATACCATCTACCTATACACATCTATATTTTCAGCCTGCGCTCGCCTTCCAAAATGTTCTGAAAGAAAACTAAAAATTAATTAATGGCTTGTTATTTTTAAAAGACAAAAAAAAGCTAAGAAATCAAGTTTCGAACGTGTAAAGGTGGAAAGCAAAATAGTTTCGATCGAGCACATATAATACCAGATTATATTCCAAGGCGTCAGAATGTTGCCAGCACATTTTGCTTTATGTCTGCTCGGCTGCATTGCACTCTCTGGAGGTAAGTGGGCGTAAGCCTAGGCAAATATCTATCATAAAGATCTCAAATATGACAGCTCGAAAGCTTCCTGTTGTACGGCTGGTAATAAATAATTGGACTATATTTTGAAATACATATATCAGACTGGCCAGAAAAACTTGTAACCTTTTCTTATGGCTCATAAAGACATCCACATGTGACTATAAAAACCATTTGCTATAACATCCATGAGTAAGAACTAGGTATACGAGGTTCGTCACAGCGAATGCCCGAACTATATTTTACTTTTGCATCGTTTCTTTAGTTTAGAGTCGTAAATTGTTCGTACCCCCCTCGCGGTTATAAATATAACTATATAGCTATATATATTTAGAGATCTATTCACCTTTTTTATGATATCGCGATACATATAGGTGAGATCTAGTTCAACATATTGATGATTCATGACCAGTTTGTCTCTGGCCCAAGCATCTTTAGCATTATGAGAGTCCCCTTAGCCCTACAAATAGGTCCCCACTTAATTACCGGCCGGAATTTACAAACTATAAACATAAATAAGGATCGTAAATTTCTGTAAAGATAAAAATAAACAGAAGTATAATAAAAATTGTTTTAGCAAAGATTTCGAAGAGCTCTTCGTAATGCTCTATAAAAAAACCATAGAGCTATCAGAGCAATGGCTGTGCTAATAGTTCCGATTCGTTTTAATATTCAAATAATGTAATATTTTATATTTTGGTAATCTTCGACAGCTGCCCACGCTGTCTATGAGGACTGCAAGACGCCTCCGCCTGTGGATCACGCTCGGGCAGAGCTGTTCGAGAGCGAGGACATTAACACGGCTATCTACAGCTGCGCGAGTGGCTATGTGCTGCAGGGCTCCAACGAGCTGATCTGCAATGTGGAAACCGAGGAGTGGCAGGGCGAGCCGCCCAGCTGCCTCAAGGCGAAGGGTGAGTGAGTAGCGGAGCTTTGCTCACATCCACAGCTCATAGTCAGGTTCTGCTTTCACAGTGAGCAGCTCTCATGCCAAGCTGAAGAAGAAGATGCTGTCCATACCCGAGGAGCCAAATGTGCCCGCCGACCTGGCCCAGCGATTGGATCTGAGCTGCATTCAGGCCAAGATCCAGGCGCCTGAAATCAATCATGGCATAGTTTTGAAATACGAACGGCGTCGACATGGCGAGAAGATCTTCCTGGTGGCCTACTATGCCTGCAATGAGAACTACGACTTCGAACGTGTCCAGGTGCAGGCGCTCTACTGCAGCGCCAATCAGTGGGTGGGTGAGCTGCCCACCTGCCTGCCACGTGTCGAATATACCGAAGAGACCGATGATCTGGATGATTACGATGAATACGAAACGACGGATGAGGAGGATCTGGAGAGCGAGTCACAGCCAGCAGAGACTGCGGATCCCGTGGCACCACCACCACCACCGCCACCTGTAGAGAAGGTGGAACGGGAGGAGCTGGACGAAGATGAGGAGCAGGAGGAGGAGGCCTCTGTGAAGAAGGAACTGCAGCCTGAGCCAGTGGCTGAAGTGGAGCCCAAAACAGAAGTGGAGCCCGCAGCTGAAACAGCAGCTCCTGCACAACCTACCGCCGAGCCAGAACCTACAATTGTGGTGCACGTGGATGAGCCGCAACCGGAACCAGAAGTGCAGCCAGAACCACAAGCAGAGCCAGAGCAACAACCAGAGCCCGCGGTTCAGACCGATGCTGCTACGCCCGCTACAGATATCAATATTGTGGTTGAGCCCACAGAGGATCCGTTTACACCACGTCTGCTGGATGAGAGCTGCGGCGAGGATCGCGGTGGCTGTGCTCACAAATGCGAGCGTCTGCTGTTCCCTGGCGAGAATGAGCCAAGGCTCAAGTGCAGCTGCAACGAGGGCTACACTCTGGACCCACAGGACTATGCCAGCTGTCACGGTGGGTGACCCTCGAAGTTGCATCAAGCCTTGTCAACCTCCACTAATTTAAATACTCAAACGTGTCTTTCCCTTGCAGACATCGATGAGTGCTTGGAGTCCAATGGAGGCTGCGCAGAGATCTGCAATAATCTGCCGGGCAGTCATGAGTGCGCCTGCCAGAAGGGCTATCAGATCAATGCGTCCAACGGCAGCTGCGAAGGTGAGTCAATGCCAAGGCTAGCCTTGCCTCGCGTCTCAGCTCTTACTCACTTTCCTCCTCAGACATTGACGAATGCGCACAGCCGGAGGTGTTGGCCGAGTGCAGCAATGCCTGTGAGAATACGCCTGGCTCCTATCGCTGTGTCATACCCTTGGACGCCAAAGAGGAGGCTGTGGAGGAGTCACTGGAAACTGAGCAGGATAACGAAGCTGAAGCCAATCCTGTTGAAGAGCCGAAGGTGGAGGAGCCAGCTGTGCAGAAAGCCAACTGCAATGCAGGCTTTGTGCTCTCGCAGGACGGCAAGGAGTGCCAGGACATTAACGAGTGTGAGATCGTTGTGGAGGACAATGATAACGCCGATCATGTGCCGCATCGCATCTGCCAGCAGCAGTGCGAGAATACAATTGGCTCCTATCGCTGCAGCTGCCGCGAGGGCTTCCACTTGCTGGAGGATGCGAGCAGCTGTGCGCCGGATGGCTGCAAGGACTTGGATAATCCGCAATTGAGTCGCAGGCGTTGCGCCCATCAGTGCGAGGATTTGCCCAGTGGTGGCTATGCCTGCCGATGCCCCGATGGCTATAAGCTGGGCGAGGATCTGCATAGCTGCGACGTGCTGGAGACCGTGTGCAGTCGAGAGCAGGGCCACGAACGCTGTCGCCCGGGCAGCTGTCTGGCCAGCAAGGACAACAGCACCTTTAGCTGTCTCTGCCCGCCGGGCTATGCCAGCGATGTCTACAGCTGCCAGGATCTGGATGAGTGTGCCATGGGCACGCACAAGTGCAGCCACGAGTGCTTCAACACCGCCGGCGGCTATCAGTGCTTGTGTCCGCGTGGCATGTCGCTGCAGGAGCCCGAGGGCCACACCTGTGTGGCACCAGATCCGTGCGCCTTCAACAACAATGGCTGCGAGCAGCTCTGCCTGAGCGCCGAAGGCGGCGCCTGCACCTGCAGCAAGGGCTACATTTTGAGTGCCGATCAGAAGAGCTGCTCGGATGTGGATGAGTGCCAAGTGAACAATGGCAACTGCCAGCAGCTCTGCCGCAACTTGCCAGGTGCGTATGAGTGTGTGTGCGCCGATGGCTATGAGCTGCTCCAAGTGGAGGGTCTCGATGGCTACTGCTTCGACATTGACGAATGCGCCAGCAACAGGCACAGCTGCGACTCGAGCATGCGCTGCGAGAACCTCAATGGCTCCTACACCTGCCTGTGTGCGCCTGGGTACGCCTTGGGGCTCGCAGCATCAGCTTCAGCTTCATCTGCATCATCTTCATCGACTGCTTTGCCCGCTTGCTTGGACATCGATGAGTGCTCCATGTCCAATGCCAACTGCTCTCATTTCTGCATCAATCTGCCGGGCAGCTTTCAGTGCGCCTGTCCTCTGGGCTTTAGTCTGGCTGCCGATGGCAGCAGCTGCCAGGATAACGACGAGTGCCAGCTGGACAACGGGCATTGCTCACAGCTCTGCTTGAATCAGCCTGGCGGCTTCGCTTGCGCCTGTCATCCCGGCTTTCAGCTAGCGCCTGACGGCTTTGCCTGCCTGGACATCGATGAGTGCGCTGTGGATTTTGGTAATTGCAGCAGCATTTGCATTAATCTTCTAGGTGCGCATGCCTGCGCCTGCGAGCGAGGCTATGAGCTGCAGTCCGACGGACAGAGCTGTCAGGATGTGGATGAGTGCGCCGGCCTGCTCTCTGGTGGCTGCACTCACGAGTGCATCAACAAGCCGGGCAGCTATGAGTGTGGCTGTCCGCTGGGCTATTTGCTCCAGGAGGACGACCGCAGCTGCCGACCTGCCCTGGTGGGCTGTCCGCCTGGCGCTCGGCAAACGGAGCAGGGCTGCCAGCCAATTGAATGTGATGTTGGCTTGCTGCTGGGCGCCGATGGCAGCTGCGTGGACATTGACGAATGCCGCGTGAACAATGGCGGCTGCTCGCACGACTGCCGCAATACCCAAGGCTCCTACGAGTGCGCCTGCCCAGCTGGCTACGAGCTGGCGGCCAATGCGCGCGACTGCCAGGATGTGGATGAGTGTGCCAAGGCCAATGGCGGCTGCGAGGGCAGCTGCATCAATGAGCCAGGCAGCTTCAGGTGCGAGTGTGCGGCGGGCAAGCGTTTGTCGTTCGACGAGCGCAGCTGCTATGAAGTGCCGGCAATCGAGCCAAGAGTAGCGCCCTTCCCCCTAGCTCCCATAGCACCTGCTGCCCCCGAGCGACCCGTAATGCCTGTGCGTCCCATGCCCACGCTGCGACCCGTGGTATTCTTTAAGCCTTCGGAGTCACCTGCTGTGCCCAGTGCCACGCTGCCGCCATTACCAGCTTTGCCCGTTCAACCCGCTCTGCCCTCTCTGCCCTCCTTCCCCAATTTCCAGGTGAGAGATCAGTGTCAGCGCTTCGTGGCCCCGGCCAATGGCCAGGCGCACTGCAACAAATATCGCCACAAGCGCAGGCTCTTCTACACGACACGCTGCAAGGTGCGCTGCAATGCTGGCTATCAGCTGATTGGCTCTGAGATACGCAGCTGTGGCGCCTCCGGCAACTGGGAGGGACAGGAGAACAAGTGTGTGCGTAAGTATCAGCCATAGACCCAAACACTCTCGGCTGCTGCTGAAGATTAGCTCTTTCCTTGCAGCTGTTTCACAGCCACGTCTCTGGACTTCCGTGGCCACTTCGCGTGGCCAGTCTGGCTGTCCGGCGCTGCCAACGCCACGCAATGGCGTCATCTCGCCCGCCAGCTGCACGCTGGGCCCCTCCAGCTTTGGCTCCATTTGCCAGCTGCGATGCAACATGGGCTACGTGCAGGTGGGCGCAATGTTCACCACTTGCTTCAATGGCTGGACGCTGGGCTCGCTGGAGTGCAAGCCCTTCGATTCCAACTTATTTGGCTCCCAGCTGAACACGAAGGTTCGGGCGCCCTGGCAACAGCAGTCGTTCAGGCAGCCGCAAACAATCAACCAGCGACAGCCATTCCGACAGCCGCAACTATTCACGCAGCAGTCATCGATTCAGCGGCTGCCCGTCAAGCCCTACATCAAGTGCCCCGAGAACGTGGTCATTCTACTCAATCCACTGCAGAGCAAGGCTCACGTCATACTCCAACGTCCCGCTACGAATGTGGATTATAGTCACGTGGTTGCCTTTCCGGCCTGGGCCAAGCAGCTGCAGGCTCATCTGCCCGCAGGCACGCATAAGATCGTCTACAGGGCACACGATCCAGCTACGTCACAGAGCGTGGGCTGTCAGACCATCATCACGATCAAGCAGGCACCCGGCTCCAGTTCGATGCCCTCTTTTCCTGGCTTCAGACCAGCTGCCATTTCGGGCTTTAGACCCGCGCCCATGCCACAGTTTCAATCTGCGTCGCTGCCCGCGAGACCCTACGCTAATCTCATTGATGTGCACTCCGAGAACTTGATTGCCCAACCTCCCGCTGAAGAGAGCTCAGTTTCATTTTCACCCTCGAGATCTGCTGAGAGTAGTCGCATTGATCTGGGCTCCTCCTCCTCCCGCTTTTGTCCGCCTTCCTTTGAAGTACATCTGAAGGAAAATCAGAATCTGCGCTCCGTTGTCTGGGAAGAGCCACGCTTCGAGGGCAAGCTACTGAAGATTTACAAGTCATCTGTGAGTATGAAATGAACTCGATTGTGGATGAAACTTATTCGACTCGACCCCATTCGCAGTTCCCTGGCGCTCTGTTCGGCAGGGGTGATCACGACATCCGTTACGAGGCCACCACCACGGATGGCCTTAAGCTACACTGCAATTTCCAGATACATGTCAAGGGTAAGCCCACAACAGTTGAGCCTAAGATCTGGATATATTTTGTATCTCTAATACCCTTTTAGCTGCTGCACCAACACCCCCGCCCTCCCACGCCGAGATCAGCTACCCAGATCTATCCCCTGCTCCCGCTGCCCTCACCCAGCCCTCATCCAGCAATCTCTTTGCTGGCCACGAATCCTATGTACTGTGTCCCGGCAAGGAACCAGTCAAAGTGACCTCCAGCCAATTCGTAAGTTCAACTGCGAGCAACTGCAGCCAATCCAAAGCCAAAGCTTCGACTAAGTATAATGCAAGAGAGCTCGTGAAGGCTTGGCTGGCAGCCATATGTATTTGCTTATATTTGTATCTCTGTCTTGACACATATGCCTTGGTGCATCTATAGATACATATGTATCTCTATGTCTATCTTAATTGCTATTTCAATTTATATCTATTCTTATCTTTATCTAGGTCAATCTGCCCGTGGGCTGCACTCTGAAGAACGTGCGTCCGCAAACGTCTGGAAAGACGCATCTGAAACGCGGCATCCTCACCTCGCTCTGGCGTCGATACAATAATTTCTAATTATTTATTTATTTATTTATTTATTTCTATCTATCTATATATTATAATGAACATTTGTAAAACTACACACATTTTTCGAACACTATTTTTTTATGCGATTTATTTTTGTATACCTTTTATGCGTAATTTAAATAAATATTTTTATGAAATGTACTTTCAAATGCGTTTTTTATTAAATGGGAATGGGCAAGGTTTCTTTTGAGAACGTAAAAATCAGCTGAAGGCCGCTTGGATTTGGTCCACAAAAAGTATCTCAGCCTCTTTGTCTTGTGTTGTGAGAACAGATCAAAGTCTTTAGCTGCGTGCTCTACTTCTTAAGATTTTACATCACGAAACTGAAGCATCCGAAATATGCTGATAACACAAAAATTCGGTTTCTGTAAATTTCATGGCATATTGCATCAGATTTTCTGGAGATTGAAGCGAACCATAAAAAACTCATAAGTGTTGACCTTACGATGGCGCGGAATGCAGAGCTGCATAATCTACGAAAAAGAGAGAGAGGTACAAAAGTACCAAAACGTTAATTTATTGCTTAATGGTACATTTGAGTAACATGTACCCCAGCTTTCTGTATACATAAGAAGAAATATTTTATATTATTTTATTTATTAAATTGATTGAAAAATCCATAAATCATATATTTATAAATAAATATATGTTTCATTCTTACATTATTATTATTTATTTTAATTTCTGGTTATATATTTATTATCAAAAAATTTATTTTATTTATATTATTTAATTCATTATATATTTTTTGTTATTTATAATTATAATATATTCTGTAAAATAAGAATTTAAAAATAAAATTCAAGTTCAAGCTAGGTACATTATCAGAAAGGTACATTTCCCTTATTCGACATATGTAGGTACAAGCAGATGCAAGTGCTGCGCCAAAGCAGAGTGCTGCAGATGCGTTCCACAAAACACGTTCCACACACACCAACCGCAAAGGCGGCCTCGCGTTGATTGAACGAAAGCTGATTTCGCACACTTTGTCAGTTTGTTGGGGCAGTTGGGCGGGTCAACACTCGTTGTTGTTGTTGCTCACTTGATAAGCAGCTGTGCGTGTGCCTTTGTGTTTGTGCCACTTGCTGACAAACTTAAGACAGGTTACCCAGCTAATCAAAATATTATTGTGGAACTCAAACTAGAGCTGAGTTTTTAGAAAGCTTAGCGCGCTTAAAATGCGCGCCTATTAAAACTTTATTTACCTCCAATAATTGAGCAGAAATGCCGTTGAACTCGTTTGGTTAGAACCTGTCATTAGAATATTGATTATTTCGCTTAAATATTGTTTTTTGTTTTGCTCTTAAATTTGTTCTTAATTTTTTTTTTTTTTGCGAATTTCAAAATATTCAAAGACCACAAGCAGCGCACATACTAAGATAAGAATAATGTTCATACTTACGCACCCATATAGACAACTCAACGATCTATATGAAGACGCCAGCTGAGCTGATAACCCTACGAGTGCGATAGATTGACTCTACGAAGTGGATGCTGTTCTGTTCTGTTCTGATCTCCGATCGCCGGCCGCCGATCGCCGATCGCCGATCGCCCGCTCCGTACTCAGTTTTGGTTGTTATTGTTGATGTTATTGCTGACAGAGATTAGCTACTGGCGAGTCTATAAAAGCGCCTGAATAGCTCAAAAGCCAAATCAGTTTTAACTCGTGTGTTTTACGGTGCGTTTGCATCTGTTTCGTTTAATTTCAATTCGTTTCGTTTCGGTTCGTTTGGTTTCGTTTCGTTTCGCTTCTTAGCAAAAAAGTCTTTTTGTCGATCGAGTCGCAGAAAATGTATCAACGACAAGTTTCCTTCGATAAGGTTCGTACACTACGCCATTCCCATACTATATATAGACTATAAAAAAGTGAAAATCATTTCGATTTAAATCGTAAACAATTAGTTGACGTAAAGTGTTAAAATTGAAGAATATTAATTTTAATTGAATTATCAAGATTCACATTTGTCTCAGCTATATTGTGGATGATGCTAATCTCTCTGGAATCATAAAAAATCCGGGTTCCAGTGGTTGCCTTTGTCAAAGACTTCAAGACTTCTAGTTTTTAACTCTGAACTAATTTCTACTACTACTTAATAAGAGTAACTAAGCATATATATTGGTATACTTGTGTATTATATAACTATATAAAGATGTTTTTTTAAACCAGCTTTTATAGAAATTTAAATTCTAAAAAAAACTTTTATGAATATTTATAAATATTTGAGAGAATAATTATAAGTTTATGAAGATTTTTAGAACTAGTTTCTGTAGAATATGCAAATGAGAAAAACAAATGATTTTTAATGAATATATATACATATCTGTATATATATATGTGTGTGGGCGTGCTTACAAAAGGACAACAAAAATTGTGTTTTAAATTTCACAAGCTAAAATCTAATTTGATTGAAATTTGCTTGTCATCGCGTTGTTCTACATAGATAATTATACGAGTCTTTAGAACTATGAACTGTGGAACCTTAAACACGCTTTCAATTTTATGAATATATATAATTCATAAAAAAGTCTTTTGATATATGCCACAGAAGGATTTAGATAGCCAAAAGAGGGTAACATTGAATATTTTTGGTCTATATAAGTTTGTTAAAAATTCAACAAGATAAAATTTAGAAGCTAACATTTGCATAGCTGTTTACAGTTAGATTGTATTCTTAATTAATATATAATAATTAGAGTACATAGTTTTTTTCTGCTTGAAGATAAGCCTCCTGATCTCAAAATTAATTTTCGCTGCCAATTTCAAAGCCAAAATCAATGCTATGCAAACCTCTAAAATGTAGATTAAAGTCTTAGACTTTGAGAATTGACATCTCTAAAGCAGACTTAAAAGCAAGAGTTGTGTCTCAGCTTAGCTTAGCTATATATAAATATCTATATAGATAGACCCTCAATAAAACCTAGTTGTAGGCTTTGGCCCTGCAGCGGTGCATTGCGGTTAGAGTGGAAACCTTCGATATGCATCGAGCAGATCTCGGTTAGTTGTTAACCTTTGTAACCTGAGCAACGCTCAGCAGGCATCAAATTCAGTATTCAAAATACAAAATACAAAATACAAAATGCAATGAAATAAAATTTCCCTGACGCTAATATCTGTTTGCAATGCCCAAGACGCAAAACCACTTGACAATTTATATGAAAACAGAAATCTATAATGTAGAACATTAGCTCTGATTGATTGATGGACACTTCTGCTGATGCCTAACTGATAGCTTAGTCAGACTATTATGCAAGGCGATTAGCATACGAATTGATAAGCGCTCGTATTAACTGCTTCGATTTTGTTGCTGGGTTTTTTTTTATAGCCCACGCGCATTGAGGACTCGGCGTATATAGCGGAGGGCGTGGACATGCAGGAGGCTAGGAACACCTGTCTGCTCTTCTCGCCCAAGGACTCGTCGCTTGCCAGCGGAGCCTTGGCCAATACCCTGGCCATCTTCAAGAAGCACGACATCAATTTGCTGCACATCGAATCGCGCTCGTCGCTCCGTGTGCCCGGCTACGAGTTCTTTGTGGAGTGCGACGGCAAGTCGGGTGCGCTGGGCAAAGCCATTGAGGATGTCAAGGAGCAGTGCAGCTACTTCAATATAATCTCGCGTGATTACAAGGACAATGCCACGGCTGTGCCTTGGTTTCCACGGCGTATACGCGATCTGGATCGCTTCGCCAATCAGATCTTGAGCTACGGCGCCGAGCTGGATGCCGATCATCCCGGCTTCACAGATCCCGAGTACCGCAAGCGGCGCAAATACTTCGCGGACATCGCCTACAACTACAAGCACGGCGAGCAGCTGCCCCATGTGGACTATACGAAGGAGGAGATCGAGACCTGGGGCATCATCTTTCGCAATCTGACCAAGTTGTACAAGACGCACGCCTGCCGCGAATACAATCACGTCTTTCCCCTGCTCGTCGACAATTGCGGCTTTCGCGAGGATAACATACCCCAGCTGGAGGATGTGTCCAACTTTTTGAGGGGTAAGCCGAAGCGGGTGGGGATCTAGTTCTAGCTCGAGTGCTGGAGTTATCTCCTAGTCATACACAGCCGACTACTACTACTACTCTTACTCTTACCTGTTAGATTTATATTCAAGTTTCTCATGATTTCTATTTGCCAGACTGCACGGGTTTCACTCTGCGCCCAGTGGCTGGCCTGCTCAGCTCTCGCGATTTCCTCGCCGGCCTGGCCTTCCGCGTCTTCCACTCCACGCAGTACATTCGGCATCCCAGCAAGCCCATGTACACACCCGAGCCGGACGTCTGCCACGAGCTGCTGGGTCATGTGCCGCTCTTCGCTGATCCAGCCTTTGCCCAGTTCTGTCAGGAAATTGGCTTGGCTTCTCTGGGCGCACCCGATGACTACATTGAGAAGCTATCCACGGTAAGTTGCCCCCTCTCTCACTCTCTCTCTCTCTCTTTCATTTGCTTAAATTTGCCTACAGATCTTCTGGTTCACAGTGGAGTATGGCATGTGCCGTCAAGAGGGCGAGCTGAAGGCTTTCGGTGCTGGTCTGCTCTCTTCCTATGGCGAGCTGGAGTATTGCCTGACAGACAAGCCGCAGCTGAAAGACTTTGAGCCGGAAGTGACGGGCATTACCAAATATCCCATTACACAATTCCAGCCGCTTTACTACGTGGCCGACAGCTTCGAGAACGCCAAAGAGAAGACCATGTGAGTAGCTGCAACATTTTAGATTAATTCAGAATTTTTCTCAAATCTCAATTTGCTTTTAGTAAATTCGCCAACTCCATTCCGCGTCCCTTCGGAGTGCGCTACAATGCCTACACACAGAGCGTGGAGGTGCTCGACTCCAAGCCCCAAATCTCCAACCTGATGAACAATATCAATGCCGAGTTCCAAATACTGCAGAATGCGATTGTCAAGCTGCGCGTTTGAGCGACGCCATATATCCATAAGAAACCCCCCACTTTCTCCCTATATATATATATACGTGTATACTACTCTATGAAAATATATTAAATACTCTGCTTTTTCACCTCTTGTTTATTACAACACACGTGTTTTAATTAACGATCTAGTTATTTACAGGAATTATAAAATACATTTATATACAAGGTTTCGCTTAGGCATGTACAGGTAGTACTTAGAGCTATATATAACTAGCTAAAAGATAGATCGTATATGATTTAAGCTCTCTGCATTTCGGCACTTCATCAGCTCTCATTGAATGTGAATGTGAATCTGATTTAGCAAGATATTCAGAACTAACGAATAAAAAACAATAACTGAAACAGAATTTAATACAGATGTCTCTCTCTTTTTCTATATATATGTATATAACAAAACTTCGAGCTGTCAAATTAGAATAGAAAAACAACAACAACAACACAAAAGAAACAGTCGAATGTTTTTTTTAATATTTGAATATGTTCACAGCAAATAATTCAGTTGCAATCTCAACCTGAGTTTTGGACTTAAGAACTAGTTATATCTTTAGCTTAAATCGAAGCACAGTCTTTAAAAATAATATATATATGTGTGTGTGTGTATAAGATATATATATATATATATATAACTGAATGATATGGTTTTTGTAAGGTTTCTTTTGTTTTAGTTGCTTTTGACTAAATGTACATGGAAATGTGTGTCTGTGTGTGTGTGTGTGTGGTATGCCTTTATATATATATATATATATATATATATATATATTTATGTATGTCTATATTTATGAGAGATCCCTTGTGTGCGCCACTGGCACTTACTGGTTTAATTGCAAACGTTGGGCTATTCTTAAAACAAGTCGAATTTTCGCTAGACTAAAACTAAAATTGATTTTTGAGAACTTGAGCCCAGAGTAGACATAATATTTAGCTTAGCTATAGCTAGAGTGAATTAAGCATTAGAGCAATACTCAGTCTGTTGAGATCTACAACTAGTTGTGGCTATTGTCTATGTACGATAAAGAGAGAGCCATGTGCCGTAGGACTTAGAAACGATTTTTACAATACGAATTACAGCTATATACATATATAGATATATATATATGTGTGTGTGTGTGTGTGTGTGTGTGTGTCTATGGCTAAGTTTAAGGAATTTCAGTTGGTCAGTTCAAGTCAGGCCACGCCCACTTTCACTATTGACTATTGTTCGCTGTGTGCGGCGAGCTGAACAGATTTTGCGTTTGCTCCTGCGAGATTTGATAAGGCAAAATCTCTAAATCATTTGCCAGCTGACTTTGACTCGTGCTGCCAAAAGGATTTGCGGCAAAGAAGTTTTGCGGCGGTTGCTGCGGCTGCTGCTGTTGCTGTGGCTGCAACAGTTGCGGCTGCGCTGCTGGCTGTGGCTGCAACAGCTGCTGCTGCTGCTGCTGCTGCTGCTGATTGCTGCTGCTGCCGCGCATCAGCTTGTTGTCCTCGCTGTGCGACTCGGAGCCATCGTCGCTGATGCCCATGTGAAAGTTGAGCGAGGCGCCCGACTCGGTGGCCATTTGCATATAGGAAAGCAGCGAGTCCTCATTTGTGTTCTCAGGAGCATTCGAGTTGTTGTTGTTGTTGTTGTTAGTGTTGCTGTTGCTGCTGTTGCCATTATTGTTGTTGTTGTTGTTGCTGCTGCTGTTGGCAGCAGTGTTGCTGTTGGCATTGTTGGCATTGTTGTTGCCGCTGCTGCTGTTGAGCTGATTCAGCGACTGCAACGGCGACAGATTGAGAAAGGCATCAATGTCCTCCATATCCTCGCGCGACAACATGCTGCTCTGCTGCTGCTGCTGATGGCTGTGCTGCTGCAGCTGCAATTGTTGCTGCTGTTGGCTTTGACTCTGTTGCAGCTGCAACTGTTGCTGACTCTGCTGCTGCTGTTGCTGCTGCTGCTGCTGCTGCTGCTGCTGCTGACTCTGCTGCAGGCTGTGATTGTGCTGCTGCTGATTGTGCAGATTCTGTTGCTGCTGCATCATCATCTGTTGGTCCTGCTGATTGAGCATCTGCTCTGAGTTCAGGGCAAAGCCGTATTGATTGAATTGGGGCTCGACAGCGTTGCTGCCGCTGAAGTTGAAGTTGCGCTGCACGTGGGCGCCGGCAGTGCTGCCCTCGGCTGCAGCGGCGGCTACGGCCATGTTGCTGGCAGCAAAGCCCATGGGCATCATGGGCTGCAGATAGGTGTAGCGCGCGAGCAACAGCTGCTCGGAGACGATGCGCAGCTCGTTCTGCTGCTGCATGATCAGCTTCTGCAGCTCGTCGTGCTTGCGCTGCAGCTGATCCTGCAGTTGGCTCTGCGTGGAGGTCATGACCACTGCGCCCGGCAGCAGCTCCGATTGCGCCTGCATCGGCAGCGGCGACAGCACAGGCGCCACCGGAAACGGCGCCATCACTGGCTGCATGGGTATGGCAGCCAGGTACTGCGGCGGCTCCAGGAAGCTGGGCGCCACCAGCTGCGGACTGGTGAGTGGATAGCTGGACTGAGGAAACTGGCAGGCATTGCTCGTGACAATCTGCGTGGCTGCCAGAGGCATGGGCAAGATTTTGGGCGCACCAACGCCCTGCTGCAGCTGCAACTGTTGCTGATGCAAATGATGTTGGGTGAGCTGTTGATGCTGCAGCTGCTGCTGCTGAGAGTGCGAATTTTGCTGCTGCTGCTGCTGTTGCTGCTGTTGCTGCTGCTGCTGCTGCTGCTGCTGCTGTTGTTGCTGCTGCTGCTGCTGATGATGATGATGCGAGCGCAGGCGTTGACTTTGCTGTGAAGACAGAGAAGCCAGCGATAGAGAGAGAACCTATCAAACAGGGCCAATCCAAGAGCTTACCGAACTGACGTGCGTCATCAGCGACTGCCGGCTGATCACAGAATCTGCGGACATCGAAGTGGAGTCCGACTCGTTGCCTCTATTGTAGAAGTAGCACTTGCGCTTGGCCTTCGGCGAGATGCCAGTGGAGCTGATGTTGCCATAGCTGGAGGCAGGGCGCGAGGTCTTCACCGAGTTCAGCTGGCAGGTGCTTGCAGCGGGCGCCGCACCCGTCGACCACATGGGCGAGGAGTCCACCGTGGGCGATGTGGCAGCAGCCACCTCGTTGCTCAGATTGGCCAGCGTATTGCCCAGCAGCGTGCTGTCCAGATTCTGATTGCTCAGCTCGAAGTCGCGCAGCGTCGTCGTAGCCGAGGCGCATTTGCTGCTGCTCGAGGAGGTTAGGGCTTTGCTCGGCTTCTGTCGCTCCTTGTGGTTCTGCTTGATTACCTCCGCATGGCTGACCACCTTGTGCGTGCACACGACATAGTCCGGCTTCGAGTTGTACTGGTGGTAGCTCACATAGTAGTCCGTCTGCAGCCAAATCCATTGCTGGCCCTTGGTCAGGAAGCGGTAATAGCAGGACTTGCCCTCGCCCGTCTGGCGCACTAAGCGGAGTAGAGTTAACGATTAGAGTTACATTTGAATGCCGAGTCTTGCCTTGGCTTACACTCTTCGTGGCAGGCCACAATGCTGTCCAGGTCGTCGAAGTGATAGTAGTCGTAGCCCGAGGTGCCCAGCACCTCGAATGGCATGTAGCCTATGATGGGCGGCGCTCGATGGTCGAGAAAGAGAAACTTCCATTCCATGCTGTGCTTCGAGGTGAACTCGTTGCTGGTGGGATCGATGATGCTCATTTCGCGTATCAGCTGCGGCGTCTGTATGCGGCCCGTGCCCACAAAGACCAACTTCTTGTCCACCTCGACGCCCAGATTCTGCTGCAAGATGCGCGGCAGCGACTGCTGATTGCTGTTGCTCTGGCTGTCCGAGCTGGCGTTGGCATTGGTGCTGGTATCGTTGCCTACGGAAAAGATCTTAGTTTAAGTAACTCCGCTCGCGCTGCACGGCTCGACTACCTACGAAAATAGCCCACAAACTTGACCAGCTCATAGGAATTGGCATCAACTTTCTCTAAGCCGCCGCGCTTCAGGTGCGTGTAGAAGGTAATTTGATTGCTGGCACTGATGTCCGTCTGGCGGGGCTCGATGACAGGCGTGGGATTCAAGAAGATGTTCAGCAGGGCCTCGTGATCCGTTTCATAGGCCAGATCATAGATGCTCATGTTGTATAGGTCGTGCTGTGCAGACAGAGAGAAATGCCATATGAATACGTGAATCGTTGCCTTTGAGTGGCGCCACCTACCGGCAAGTAGCCCAGCTGCGAGGTAATACTTTCTGACGCATAGAATATGGAGCCCAGACTGCTAAACACCATCATGAAGCCATCCAAAGACTCCAGCATCAGGTGCGTGAACTCATCGTTTGTGAGAAACGTCGGCTTCCATTCCGGCTGTATCTCAAAGACCTTCGATCGGTCGGTCGCCTCTGCAGAGACCAGAGAGAGATCATAGAATTGAATCGCCGCTAGACTAGCGCTAGGCACTTACCATTGTGATTCTTTAGGAATGCAATTGTGGATTTGAGCACCGTTGATTTGTCCATTTTGCGATTCGATGTGGTTATCAATGCACTCAGATCATTCACCAGCGAATTGAACTGATCCCGACGCTTCTTCTCGCTCAAATTCCTGGACTTTCTGCAAAGAAGACTTCGGGTTAACCAAAGAAAATGATGATCAAATCATTTGTATATGGTAAGAGCACAAAAGAGTGAGGCTTATGGAGATTAGCTGAAGTGTAAGAGGTCTTTTATGTGTAGCCAACCCCCAACACACACGCACACACACACAGAGAACAGCTGCTCACCTTTGGCCCACGTGTGTGCTGCGCTTGATGCTTTGTCTGGCGTTTATTAGACAAATCCGCCCACATGCTCTCACATACATGCTTAGGCAATTGATGTGAGAGTGGGTGGGGTGGTTTGGGTGGCTTGGGTTTTGGTTGCGTGGCCGAGACTGAGACTGTGGGCGGGGTTTTTTTCAGTTCTATTGTCGCTTTGCATTCGTTGCGCTAGAGCAAACATTTTTGGGCTTCGAGTTTTGCATTTGACATTTGCGTGTCAATAAAATGAAACGCATACAGAGCAATTTATAGAGAACGCCAAGAGAGACAGAGAGAGAAGGAGTGTATGACAGAGATAGCCAACTACCTAGTTGTTTATGTCAATTCCTGGAATTGGGACTCATTGAGAAAGAGAAGGCGAGCGAAAAAAACATAATAACTCATACCACATGATACGGTAGTTGCCTTGGCTTAGCCACTTCTTCTTCATTCTGCTACTTTATTAAACGGATTTAGATACAATTTGCTTTTTTATCGAAACGGACTGAGGTTGATGCATCAGCCAATCAGAAAATAGTAAACTTGTTAGCTAAAGATACATAAATATGTGTATTATATCCAACTATAATACTGTATGTCTATGTAAGTGAATATATACGTTTATCTACAGAAATATATCTGTCAAAAATATATCACATCTACCTATCTATCTCTATATCTATAATTTGTCAGACCTATATCTATATATCTATTTTTATATATTATAACTTCTATCTATTATTTATGAATTCATTTATATATATTATTTATTCTCCTTTCAGCCAGCACTACTATTTCTATGAAAATCCGCTAACGAACTAATGAATTCTAAAAAAAATAAAAGGGATTATTTCGTAATTCTATTCTTTGTATTCTACTCTAAGCAAAAAATAGGCAGTTTTGTATTTTCCATCGGAAAAAGTGTCTTTTTATTCGGTTAATGTGTTAATAAGGTGAGCACTACTATTTTTTTTAACAAAATTGTACATATATCTAAATATTAGATATATATATATATATATAAACATATATCTTACACCTAAAAATATAGTTTTTAAACTGAAAACTAGTATATATAATATCTGATATATCCATACTTCCTTGTCACGCAATTTCTTAACTATAAATGCAGTCGAAAGACCTTTCCTGCATCAAGTTATATGCTGCACAGTGGAATATATCTATATCCTTAGTTATTTATTCTTATTATTCTCTATATACATATATACCGTTATTTTTGTCTGCCTGCATCTCCCTCTTTCTCTTCCTTTCCCTCTGGAGTTACTAATTTGATATTGTAATACAAACTCAGCGCGTTTACATATTATGCAATGTCCCAGACAGAAATGGAAAAACAATTATTATTAAATATAATTATATTATATATATATAGCTACATATATATAGAGAGAAATACAGAAACAATTCGGTGAATGTCCAAAAAACAAATTACGCTCAAATTTCAGTTAATTGAAGTTCGGAATTGGACTTCACTCTGCTTTTGATTAAAGGTGTCTATTACCTGGCCACAAATTTAGCCAAGTAAGCCCGTTTTGTCTTTCTTTTTCCCGTTGCAAATGGGCCAAAAGGGTGGGCAAGAGGAGGCAGTTGCTCGATTATGACATAGCAAACAAGCAAATGAATTAACACACATTTTTGACTGATTTTGCTGAAGTTTCATTAAAGCTAAACAAATTACAAAAAAAAAAAAAAAAAAATATATATATATATATATATATATATATATATATATATATATATATTTATATATATATATATATATATATATATATAAATATATATTATATATGCATACATATATTCAACTATATACCTATATCCCTCAATTTATCTATGCTATTTGTTAGCTGTAATCTCAATTTCTCTCAGAGGTCTCACTCATTTCTTTCTATCTCTCTTCCTCTCTCTCTTTATTTCGCGCTCTCTCTTCCACAATAATTATAATAAATTAAAGCTGCCTTAACAATAGTCAATTAAAACCAAATTCTTCTTGTATTTAAAACTTCTCTAATATTTCAAGAAATAACTTTGATACTACATAAAAGACTAAATGTTGTTTATCTAATATATACATAGGTATATATAACTTTCTTCCATCTTTTACCCAACTTTAAGTCTTGTCTATAAGTCCTGTTGCTGCTCTAATGCTATCTCTACCTATTTATACTTTTACAATCAGATTTCTTTATAAAATATATGCATTAACTGATATGGATTATTATCCATATTTCATATAAAAATAATCATTCATCCAAACCAAAGTTTTTGCATGTTAAACTTGTCAAATTTATACAAATATTGATTGCTTTCTTAGTTCCTATCATAATCAAAGCTCTAGTTAACTATATTTTATACATATATATTATCTGTATATATATATTTATAGATGTATATAAAGTACATAATTTCTTAAGTAAATAACATTAAATATATATTTAGACAGCATCGCTTACTAAAGTCTTTTAGCATAGAATTCTTTTGGTACTTTCTCGAAACATCTTTAAGAATTCAAGATATCTTAAGTAATCAATCTGTGCCTAAAGTAGAACTGATAAATCTTAGTTAATCAGTAAATTCTAAATAGAATCGCTTGAGCCTGAGTTTTTTCTAAAGAATATTCAAGTTTGTTCTTAAAAAATATCTAAATTAAAGCAGAATCGAGGTTCCATATTTGCCATAAGCACAATCAGTTACTAATGAAGCTTTCACTTAAAGCTTCCACTCAAAACTTTAAAGCTTCCAAAGAGCATTCAAGTTGTTGCGTTATACAAATTTATACAACTTATTCCCACTTGATTCTATTCTATTTCGTTGTTCTTTTCCCTCAGTTGTTGTTGCTGTTTTGTCTACGTCTTCAAATCATAACTGTCAATTGCAGCGCGCCCCACCCACTGCAGTGGCTTGATGTATTATATGTGTATATGTTTTTTATATATTTTTTGCTCACCTTTTCGTGTCATCCTTATCGTCGCTTTCGTCGTCCATTTTCGTATTTATTAGGTAATCCACGTCCAGATTGCTGATAAATATTTTATTTTTTGTTTTTTTTTTTATTAATTTAAGTTAACAAAAGAAGGAAAAAACAAACACCTTTGCACTAAAACTTTGTTCAGCCCACAATTTAATTTTTTACATAGTTATTTCTTTGAATTTTTGAAATTTCTTATATTTTTAATTTGATTTTTATGCTTAGGTCACATTCACACGGCAGCTGAGTTCCATTTGTTTAAATATTTGACACATATTGTGTTTTTTCTTGCTTCCAGTTAGTTTTGAGCTGCTGATAATTTAAAATAAATTTTAAGAAAATTTTCAATTTATTGAATTTTTTATTACTTTTTTTAAGAAATATTTTTTAATGCGCTGAATTTCGCGTACCGTCAGCAACAAGTGCAGTTAAACATCTGCTGCTGGCCTTTCAATATACATTAGCTGTCGACAATGCGCACACACACACACAGATACACACGCACACACACGTACACCCACATACATCGGGCATTGTTCATGGCTTTATGCCGTTGGCAGCAGCCGCATCATCCTTCGTCAAGAAGCTGCCGTTGCTGCTGCAGTTACGTAACTCTCTGCTGCGCCTGCGCATGTGTTCAGCACCGAGTGCCCTGTGCCCAACTAGCAGCGGCCCAGCGCCAATCAGTGCAGCCGTAGCCGATGCTGCACTTTGCAACCCCTAAAAAGTATGCTACGTTATTTTGCGCCTGTTACTAAATGCGACAGCAAATGCCATAACAACTTTCCAAATGAATTCAGCTTTTTTTCTCTATATAGACAGACTACATATATGTGTGTGTGCCTGTGTGTGTGTGCCTGTGTGTGTAGCAGCTGCTAACCAAATGCCAACCAATTGGCTGCGCTTGCCTCTGCCTCACACACGTATTGCATAATCGCGCGTGTGTATGAGTGCGCGTGTCTGCGTGTGTGTGTGTGTGTGGGTGTGACACTACATTTTCAAGCACTTGATATGTATATATATATATCGAATGCTAATGGTTTAAGTCTAGTGCTCGCGCTTTTTAACATCCATAACAGAACAATCGTTTGCTTAATTGCAAAGTTTGCTGGGGCTTCGAGTTGATTTGTTTTGCAGCAAAACTTTCACTGCTGCCGCACAAGTTGTGTGTGGGCCAAAAGAAAATGTCAAAGAAAAGGTGTTGCTGTTGCGAAGTCTTTTTGCATTTGCCAGGCTTGCCTGCATTGCCTTAATTAAAAGCGTTGCCAGCAAACGGCTTTAAACATGCTGAAAACAAGCGGCTTAAAACGCACGCACACACAGACACACATGTGTGTATGTGTGTGTTGGTTACTGCTGCTGCTGCTGCTGTTTAATTAATCCGTTTAGCCATTTGTCCGGCGAAGCATTTAACGAATCATAATTTCCCACATGTATTCAACAGTTGCAGCACAACAAACATTTTAAATACACATCAAAGTCAAAAGCGCCGACAGCCTTTGCCCACCTCCAGCTGGGCGACAGGTGAGTTCTTGTTGTTGCAAGTGTTGCTGGTTAACCCTAAGTAGCTATCGCTGCTGCTGCTGCTGCTGCTGTTGCTGTTCTAGCAACTGGTTGGGTTCAGCTTACGTGCTGTGGTTTTGCCCAGCTTTAAAAAAAGCACAAAATTGCTGCCGCTGATAATTGCCAACGTGTTGTTTAATGGCTCGAATTGCAATTAGTGCGGTTTGCTGCCTGCCAATAGCCAACAGACTACGAGACCGGCTGAGACCGAGACAGCGGGATTGGCGAGAAAAGAGAAAGGTAGAGTGGGTGGGAGGCTGGTGCAGAGGTCAAGATGGTTAAAGCTCAAATTAAACAACAATGTAGACAAGTGATTGGTATGACTTACTGATCTAGTTTGAAGAAAAAATAGAAGAACAGAATAGAGAGAGAGAGAGAGAGAGAGAGTGAGAGAGAAAGAAGTGAAGACAAAGCATTAAGAGAGAGAAAGAGAGAGAGGGAGCGAGAGCTGCAAAAATGAACAAAAAGATCTGACGGAGACAGAGACAGACAGATATAAAAAGAGGGTCAGACAATATGAAAAGAGTGAGACAGACGAAGGAAAAGTGAAAGAGAAGGACAGAATAGAAAGAGAGAAATATTCAGTTAGAGATAGAGATAAAAGTAGAGTGTGAGGGAGAGAGATAGAAGATAAGAAGTGACAGACAAAGACATAAGAGAAAGAGAGATGAATACAGATATAATGACAAAGATATGCAGTAGAATAGATAACGGAACAAGAGAAAAAGAGAGGGAGCGAGACCCCAATGGAACTACAATAAAAGAAAGAGAGCCACAGAGTGAAGTGTAGAGATTAAGATAAAGACAAAAAGTGGATTAGATAAGACTGAAAGATAACTCAAAAGAGAGAGAAATGAAGAAGGAAAAGTGACAGAAAAAGAGAAAGGCTGAGAAAGACAGAGATAAGGATATAAAGTACATTAGATATAACTGAGTGAGAGAGAGAGCTGAAGAAAAAAGGCATCAGAAAAAGGCAAATTGAAAGGCAAATGAAGGATGAAAGAGAGAAAAAAAGAATACCATATTATATAGAAAGAGTTAGAAGGAGTATAGCAATTCAAGTCAGAGAGAAAGATATAGATGAAGTGATTGGGAAAGAGAGAGAAAAAAAAGGCTGCTACAACATCTAATATATCCAGATCTAGAGCTCTAGAGCAACGCTCGAGCTGAATTTAATGTCATTTAGCATTAGAAGCTGAACAACCAATATATAGATACATTCATATGCACATATACTCAATTAGGTAATGTACATATAGAAAAAACTTAGCTATAAATAGAATAAATCTAATGCAGAAGCTATTTAGATTTCATTCGCCTTCACCTTAACAAGACAATTGCATAATAAATCTAGCCGAATGCAGAGCTTAAGTTAAACAAAACAAATAGCTCGAAGAGCTTGCGACAACTGCACAACTCCCATCCTCAACCCCTACACCTGCACACATTCAATCATTAAACAACATTTTGTTGTTCTTATTCTATGCTCATTTGGCATTGATAAACGTTTTGTATTTGTTTTTGTTGTTGCTTTTGCCTCTTTTGCAATGCGGAAGCAGAAAGCTTGCAAAGCCGGTTGCCAACTGCAGCCGCAAGATCGTTGACTGACCTACTCATGTTAGAAAGCTCTCTATTTGCCAAGCAGCGCTCTCCGCTCTCATACTTCTGCATAAGAACGCGCGCTCTCTCCCTCTCCCGCTGTCAGTCGCTTTGCACGCGTGCTCTGCCTGCCTCTCTCGCGCGCTCACACGCTAGCAGCTAACGTCATTTGATTGCATTTCTAAAGCTTCGCTCAGTGCGCAAATTATCGCATAGTTGCTCTGCCTCAGTATTAGTATACATATATATGTATGTGTGTATCTGTGTGCTTGCTTGTGACAGTGTTTGATTTCTTTGTCAGTGAACTTGAGCTTTTGCTGGCTACGCTAATTGCATTGCGATTACAGCATACTGTAACTGTATGTGTCAATGTGTCTGTGTGCATGTGTGTGAGTGTTTGTGCATGTTGTGTATGATAATACCGCCCTGCCAGCACCCACAGTACTTTTGCAGTGTTTTGTTTTGCTGCGTTCCGCCTTTTTTCCAAAGCTTTGCGACTTTTGTAATATTTTTTGTTTCACTCGCACACACACACATATATATGTATACAGTTACAAGCTGGTTCTCTCTTCCTCTCTCTCTCTCTCTCACTATACATCTCAATTGTCTATGCTCTTCTCCTTGTTGCAGTTGTTGTTGTTTTAAACTTGACTTAATTAAATTTTTCCTATTTTTTATTTTTATCTTTTGCCAATTGTCTGTCATTCATTGATTTGCTAGTTTTCTATATACACACATACATACCGTATATCTATATATATATTATTTTTTCTTTTCCTTTTACGCTTTGTTTCTAATAAAGTTTTAGCACTAGTTAGGCCTAGGCTTGAGCCTGAGGCTTTTCATTTCATGCACACGCTGATCTCTGCTCGTTCAGATAATTTCCATGCAAAGCTGCTTTGCCGACTTATAGACATGTCTGGTTATAGTATATACTATATATTATAAACTATTGTAATTATTCGTCTGGTTCTCATAGTTAATCGATCTTCATCTTGAGGCACTTCATCTCCACTTTTGATGCGGATGCGTTGCAGCTCGAGTACTTTTGGCTTAAAAGGCATTCACTTTAGGTTTTTTTGTTTATAAACTTGGCTTTGTTTTAAGTCATCATTTATAATAGCTTTATAATGATTGTTAATAATTACATTATGAATTTTCAAACTTTAATTGGTTTGAATATTTTTATATTTATTGGAATTTTTGTCTATATTTAATTTATTTATTTAATGATATAAGTTTGATATTTTTAATTCAATTTTGGTATATTTATGTATTTAATATATAATTTTTAAATATACATAAATTGTTAAGTTCGTTTTTATTATTTATTTTTTCTATATTAATGACTAAATATTTTCTAACACTTTTTTTTAACTTTATGACGCATTGAGCCAGTTGGCCATTAGTTAAAAATGGCTAAAGGCCTTTCGAGTGTTTTTTTACTTATTATATTATATATTTCTGATATTTATTTGGAGTAAAATACTTTTAAAGACTTCGCATACATCTTAATGGATGTTGATCAATATTGATTAAGAGCTATCAGAATAATTGAAGCCTGTTTGATCACTGCAGTCAAATTGTATTTTAATGCTATGTAATGAACATAGTTAATCATATATTCACGATTTAATTAGAGGAGTGGAGCTGACTGCATGCCATCTCGCTCGCCCTCTAGTAGTAAATAGTTGTAACATATTTGTTTATTATTTGCGGGTTGTCAATTGAAATGATTTTACGCTGGCATTTTAGCTGCTTGGCGCATGATCATACACACACACATACACACTCAGGCTCACCAATGCAGAATGCACACGCGCACTCACACAGTGAAGCGCGCGAGGTAAAACAC